GCAGTATGTCAAAGGTGCTTTCCCAAAACCCACATTTTGTTCGTTCTACAAATCATTACATTTTGTTTTTAAGGGGGCATATGTGTGACACATTTAGGCGAGAGAGAGGTTGGCGTTGATTTATTAAAAGGCAGTAGGTTTTTTGTTCGTACAATTGGTCGATAAAGTGTCATCAAAAAACGAAAAAGACAAAAAAAAAAAGAAGAAAACGCAGCGATGCGAACATGTAATTTTCTTGTTGTATTGGTGAAGTCTTAATATTACGACCTACGAAATGTAGAATTACTATGGCCAGCGTGTAATTCGCAAAAGACTCTAAAATGTCCACTCACAAGGCGACAATAATAAACTATAATAAAACGTAAAGTGTTCGACTGCTTCCTCAATTGTTTTCATTCATTCGCGCCGAGCGTTTCACTTTTCCCGCTGCGAGACAAGTGGAACGGTAAAAGACGCGCTGTCGCGTTTTTTTACGAATTGCTTTTTCACTTCGGGTAAGTGTTGCGCGTCCATACTGTTGACAAACGTCCGCCATTTTTCCCATTAAGTTTCCTGTAGGTGTTCAGTTGTTAGCTTCGTTTTTGGTGTTGGCAAAACGCAAAAGCACGGCGAGTGGCTCCGTCGACGGCAGAACTCAATCAGCACGACTGGGGACGCATTTGATTCTTCGATTTGCATAGATCTACCCTTACTCGGTTTTATTCTACTTCAGAGTTACCTCGGTGGCTTCTGCTGATGCTCGTTTCGCCACCAAAGTGTCAAAGGCTCGAGTACCGGTTTTGTCTTAGCTCTGAGCGAAAACCGATACGCACAAAAACCGCTTAGAAGCCGGCAATTGTTTTGCGCCGCCGACTACTCCGGCAAGGGAAGTCGAACACAGCGCAGGAGAACCTGAGTGAACTGAAAAAACTGCCTCCGTCCAATATAGTGTCTAGGTTTCTAACATCGATTCCAGTGTGATTCTGAATCTGTCCCATAAGACACGCAAAGAACAACAGTAGCGTAAGTCTAAAGGCTTTTTGTTTCGTTTTAGTAGTTATCTACGAAAAACAAAATCAGCATAAGAACCCGCGTGTAACTCATTCTAGAAATGTCGAGTTATTGATATTGTTCTATAATAAATCCCACTTGAGCGTATAAGCTGGCCGAAAAATACATAAAAATCCATCGACAATGTGCAAGGAACGATGTAAAAGAAGGCGCGCTACAGAACCTTTCATTTTAAAACCATAGTGACTCCCGGCCCCAAAACAAACCTTCGAACAAAATTCCAGGGCTGGTTGTATGTTCATCGAAACCTTCCGCCCAAAATTGTCCAGACGCTACACTTTGTGATTAATGGAGCCTAATTTCAGGTACGTGAATAGCTGCGCGCCGATCACGCTCGCCCCGGGCGTGATACAGCGGCAGGAAACCCACGCAATGTGGCTTCAAAACAGGACGGACTGCTCGAAATCGTGACCGGGAATTCAAAACGTGCAGAGAATGATGCACTACGATCCTACCGGATCCGTTTCGTTCTTATGGGACGTTTTGGACGCTCGTATTCTTCCGAAGAAAAAAAAAAAAAAAAACATCCACGACAATAAATATATACACGGACGTATAAGTTATGATTCACGAGGTGATTTCTGTCGGACTGAATTCATACGATTTCCCGTCAACGTCTGTTTAATGTTATTTTGCTTCGTTCGCTGATTTTCTTTTTGTTATTTTTATGTCGTTTGAGTCGGGCCAACCAGCAAAATTTATAGCAAGCGATTCGCCGGCCTTTTTTTTTCAAGTTGTTTATTTGAGAGCACGCGTTTGGGCGCGACATTTTCTGCCCCCCTACCGCGCCGAGCGCGTCGTCTCGGCCCACGACTCCCATATTTCAGAAACGTCGTCTTCAATTGCTCCAGCACACGGTTTAGGGAGGTTACGGAAGACGGGTACGAGATGAGAACACTCTTCCCTTTGTTCTTCCTCTTAAATTTTTTTACTCGTTTTCCCCCCTCTCTCTCTCTTTTCTCACAGAAATCTATATCTAAATTCATTCCTACTTTGTTTCGTTCATACTGCTCCGTTTCTCGGTCATTACAATTTTTAAAAATATATATGCGTTTTTGTTTTTACGTTAAATACATTAGTCTGGATTTTGTTTTTGGGAAGGATAAGAGAAAAAGTGTGGTGAGGATGAGCGTGCGAGCGAGCTGAAACACAAAAAAGCGACCAACACGAAACAAACTTTCGTCCGACGTTTGTTTTTCAAACTCCAGTTTGATGCACGCTTTAGGAGAAAAGTATAGGACAATAAATAATTATACGAAAATAAAAAAATGCAAGAAAAACAAAGGGAAGAGCGTTATTACAGAGATCGAAGCATTTTTTGTGGCAGTAAGTTTGTGACGTTGCCAAAGCTGAAGTCAGGAAATTTGTAAAATTACAACGCGACCGTTGAGTTGTTTACATTTTTACTTGGTGGAGGTTTGCTTTCGACGTTATCGCTTTTTCTGAGGGGTCGCGTTTTAAGAGGGGAATAATAGCAGTCTGGTAATATATGTCTGATCAAAGTTTGATTTTTGTAAGGGCAAGAGGGAGGCAGAGGCAAATTTTATCGCCGCCTCTTTGAATACGCCTTTTGTGCTACGCGTGTCAGAAAGCGGATCCGCGGCACTGACGAGAATAGTAGCAAATATAGCAAAAATATTAATACAAAAAGTTAGAGTGGACGCGTGGGGCTCTGATGGATGAGAAAATTTTGTTTTGCATGAAACACAAAAATATGTAAAAAAAAAAAAAGAAAACACACACACACACATAAGAGTGGGAACGCGACGAAATTCTATTTCCTTTGTTTGAACGCCGGGTGCTCAAAAGCGTTCCTCGCTGTATAAGAAAAAAATATTATTGAGATAAACAAAACAGTGAAAAGCTAGGCTTTGAAGAGACCGGGATACAACTGGCTTCAAAATTGCGTTTCTTTTTATTTTTTGGGGGAGGGGGGCTTTTTTTACTTTTTCTTTTTTTTTTTCGTGAGTCATCTGCGTCGAGCTCATTCTTACACTTACCTTCTGACCGCGCGCACGCACACGTGCGCGTCAGTACGAGCGCGATACAAGGGCGAGCCTAATGACGACGGGGGAGAGTGGAGAGCGATACCCACACATAGGGTTGCTTCTGGCTTCTTTTCCACGGCATTGATTTCGCGTTTGCTGCAGTCCTTTCTTTTTGGGTGTTAATGTTCCCTCCGTTTCTAGAATTTTTGTCTGTTTTTTTTTCATTTCTAGTCTTATTTCATCACTCGTCTTTGATGCTCTCGTCCAGATTTTTCTTTTCTCGTCGCTTGTTTTAGGAAGTTTTTTGGCCTCTTTGCTTTTTTCCTGACATTAAGGAAAGCTGCTGCTGCTCGATGCAATTTCGTGTTTTGGTCTTGTCCGTTGCTTTCCGAACGTTCGACGTCCCGTTCCTTTTGTCATGCCCGGGGTCGTCTTCCCTCACTTGTGCGCTGGAGAAGAATTAGAGTGCTCGATCGCGCGGCTGCAGGGCCGTCCTCGATTTTCAAGCTCGCCCGACGATGGAACGTAAAGGATGTGTCGCCCGGCTCACTTTCACGGATTTGCTATGACATGTTCACGAGAGTTCGCGTTAGAAGTAAATCGTTTATTATTGTGGTGCGTGCGGTGTTGCGTTTGTGGTCATCCCACTAGTGGGAATAAAGCGAGCGGTTTCGCGGCGCTCTTTATGTATATTTTTTCATGCGAGGGTCAGCGCGAGTGCCTTCACGCTCTACGGTATTTGAGAAATCTTGGAGCTCATTATAATCACCTCAGATTCACCGCGCCATTCACCGTTAGTTGCTTGAGAGAGATAGAGTCGTGGAAAGATAGGTTAGGCAGTTAAGTTAAAACAAAAGTACGTCTTGGTAGCTCAATTTAGTTGTGCCCTGCCCGAATCTTCTATGGCTACACGTGACGCGGGCCTTTTCCATTTTGCTGCAGTTCGTAAAAATAAACATAGCTAGCTAGACCTATAAATGTTCCCATTGTACGGCATTCTAAATAGCCCGCCTGAGGGGAGAAATTGACCTAGTCGAGCTTTCTGATTGGTTGGTGTTGGCCACTTCGACGCTGGGAGGAAAAGAAAAACCTGTATCAAACGAGCGAGTTTTTAGCATTTGGCGTCCTACAAGCGGTGTAAAGGTGAGAGATGTGTGTTACGGTTGATCGCTGGGCTAGATGGTAATCAATGAACATACTGAGCTAAATTAGCGTAAAAACAAAGATAGAAAAGGAAAAAAAAAAAGAAACGGGACAGGAAGAGCGCTTTTTTCTGTCACGCGTTGTTCTTTCTATATTTCTGTTTGCGTTATTTTATATCACTATGTTCATAGATGTGTAGATTTTTGCTAGGTTTTTATTTACAAGTTTTGATTTTGCTGGCAAAAAAATAATTCCGCTTCACTTATTCATTTTCGGGCAGTGTCAGATCTTCCGCCCGGGTTTGATCCAATCGCACAGACGCGCCAATTTCTTGCCTTCAAATTCTACGCAGAGACGCAATTTCTATAACCAAAACCTAGGAGTTCCTAAGTAATTAGTAAGCTCGTGTATATGTTGTCCGGTATTGAATTGGCAAACAACATTTTTGATCAAGGCGTCGAGCAACGTATGCACTTTGTTATAATTTTTTTTTTATTGAACTCTTTGGGGGTGCCCTAAGGGTCACATACACATGTGTGAACACGCGGGACCTGCAGAACGATTTTTATGGTAGTCTTAACTACCGTAAAATTCTGCATATTGGCCCACCCACGGTGAAGGTATAAAATAAAGTAATGGTGAGGTTGAGGATAGTTTGGGGATGGGCGTTCATTCGGGATTTTTGGGGTGTGATTCTTCTTTTTTGTCAACGCACAAAGCAAACTGGTTTTTTTTTTTTCGGTGTAGTGGGACCCTGTCTTTATGGAGGGCAGCTCGGAGGTCTTACGGCGCATCTTGCCTCTTGTCTCCCGCTGTCAGATGTCGGACGACGAGCGGCTGTCCCTGACGACGGCCGTGAGCGACGAGGACGAGACGGGCGAGCCCCGGTCCGGATCCCGCGCCGCGGGTTCGGGCGCCGGGGCCGCCGCGGCTGCCTCCTTCAACTGCACGGGGGCTGTACGCAAGGCGGGCTTCCTGAGCGTCAAGAAATGGCTGCTCAGGAGAAGACATCAGGTAAACCGGAGTGTGTAGCTTTTTGCAAGCATGAAGTGTTCTTTTTTTTTTTTTTGCGGAACCTTCTAGTTTTAAAGTTTTGTCTGTTCGTCCATCCTTTCGTTCGTTCATTTTCCGTTAAATTTAGCGGAAATATTGACGTCACGCGAGCTATACACCGATTCAATGTTCCCGCCACATAAAGCAGGAAAATTTACGTCGCGTGACCTAAACATCAATTTGGTTCCTCCGCTAAATTTAGCGAGGAAATATGCGTCAGATGCACACCAGTTCCCTCCCCCCGAGCCGCAAAATCGAATGTGTCCGTTCGACTCTTCTGGATAGATAAATTTAGTAAAGAATCCCGAATTGGTGCATAATTATACACCAATTCAATCTGGGAAGAATTGGCGCGAAAACGACGTCAGCATTTTTCTCAGAAATAATGCTCCAAGTCTGAATAAGTGCGAAGGATCCCGAATGCCACAACATTAGTTGATAGTCTAGTTGGTCAAACATTGCAAAAACTGCACGAAAAAGAATGGACAAGTACGAGACTAGACAGGACCATCGCTTTTCCTGTACACTCTTTTTTTTTGTTGTTCTCGCTAACCGATTTTGTAATCAGAAATGCTATCGCATTACACCCCTTTTGGCAAAAAGTACAAAAAAGGCGTAGTGTTTTTTTGTTTTTTTTTTTAAAGCGATAGCTTTATGGTCGAGACTTTGAAAGAGATTTCGTCCTCGTTCGCTGTCGTCGCCGCGCGCGCGAAAAGCAAACAAAAAAAACAAACATTTTTTTTCTTGTTTGTGAGGAGAGGGAAGTTGGGACTCCCTGCTTGCCGTCAGCCGTGCCGTACGAACCGAGCGAAGAGGGCAGTCCTGGCGTCCCGCCAAGGATTGCCCGACAAACGAAGAATCCCTGTGTCGTCTCCTTGAAAGACTTGTTTTCAAACATTACTCGCGTTATGCGAAATCCCACTTTAGCAGTATCCAATTTTCAATATCCAATTTCCACCGCGCTTCCCCGCTTACTTTACGGATCACTGGTGGCGGTCGTCAGCTGCACGACGGCTATGAGAATTAACCACGTCGCACCTCCGTCCTCAGATACGTGACGGCACCATTCCACCCGTACTGCTAGACCGTATTTCAGATATCGCTTTCGTTTATTCGTCCATTCTAAAAAAACAAAAAAACGACAATTTTTTTTTTTTGACGGGGCCAATTATGCTATCAAAACGTTTCGGGGAAGGGGGGGGGGGGGGGGAAGGGAAGGGAAGGGGGAAGAACTTCAGGGTAGATTTTTCAGAATCTTTTTGACAGCTTCACGTTTTTAACGCCAGGTAAGGTCAGGTTTTGGGGCTATTGCAAATCCGGGACTGTGGAATAATATACCGGGTGATTTTGTTTTTTTTAATTCGAACAGATTTATTGCATGAAGTCCGTAAAAGATGCACTAATACGGTTTGTGAGGTGAGTTATACAGCCAGGGGGACATTATGTGGGTAGCTAATCTTTGCTATAAGTCAAATAATTAATTAAAATTCGTTAATTAACTTTTTAATTTGTGAAAATAGACATATGGTCCTAAATAGAAACTTATAGAGCCTTATCGAAAACCACTAACTCAACTCTTTCTAGAACGACATGAAGCTCGTGGGAAACTCGGGGGCGCACCAAAGTTACCACTCGTGAAGCAGGCGCAAAGGTAGGAGTGGCGGAACGCGATAATGCGTTCCGCCGTTGCTAGCTTTGCGCCTGCTTCACGAGTGGTAACTTTGGCGCGCTCCCGAGTTTCCCACGAGCTTCATGTCGTTCTAAAGAAAAGTTGAGTTAGTGGTATTTGATAAAGCTCTTTAAGTTTCTATTTGGGACCATATGTCTATTTTCACAAGTTAAACAAGTTAATTAACGAATTTTAATTAATTATCCGACTTATCGCAAAGATTCGCCACCCACATAATGCCCCCCTGGCCGTATAACTCACCTGCACAAACCGTATTAGTGCATCTTTTTGGGGCTTTTTGTAATAAATATGTTCGAATTAAAAAAAAGAATCACCAGGTATAGCTTCACCCGTCTGATCTATTCGTGCAGTTATGATGTCGTTCCCTACTACAGATGTGTCAAAGTTTAGTGCAGACAGGGGCCATAACGTTTTCTGTTAAAGGGGCACTGACACCCCAAAGGTCGTATTTATTTTTATTGTCTAAAACGGTGCAAGTTGCAGTCATAGACACGCAAAAAAAACCGCATCGCGAAAAAAAATTTTCCCGCGCGCGCGCGCGCCTTTTTATTTTTGGCGTTTGATTTTCCCGCGTCTCGCCTCCTCGCTTCTTTTGATCGGTGACGTCAAAAATCAGGAAATTTAGAAGCTTTGTAGGCGACATCTCTATAACATTCAATTACGGCAATCCTAAAACATGTTTTTTAACGCAATTGCGAACGCACTACGGCCCTTCTTTTTGAAATACCAAAAATCGGGAGTTCATTGTGGTGCCGTCTCCTGGATTTGTATCCTCCAACGGAAAACAGGCGACACCGCTCAAAACCGGTCCGCCGCAACGCCGGGCGCTCGCTCCTTTCCTCCTCGCTTTGGGTCGCCATGGCAACAGCAGGGAGTGGTGAAAGGAAGTCGACTCTCAGGTCTGCGCGATTTTTGACGTCAAGGCACCGGCGCCGATCGCGCGGGAACTTCGAATTCGGCATTTGGAAATTGTTTTTTTACTTCATAAATACTGAATTCCCAAATCTCAAATTTTGAGGGTAATGTCCCGGCATCGTTTTCAATCGTTTCGGATAATAAAAAAAAAAATATGATTTTGATGTGTCAGTGCCCCTTTAAAGGTGATGGAAAATAGCTTCACAGGAGTGGGCACTGCCTTTTCTGCAGAAAACGAGAATATATTTAAAACTACATAACTAGATTAATTTTACAGCAACTTACTCAAAAATCAATTTCCCAAAAATTATTTAAGTTTTTTTTTTTTTGCATGAGTATTAGAGAATACAAATTGCACTTTTTCTTTACGTCCAATACAAATCACTTCGTTTTCATAAAACACGCCCACACACATACACACACGCAGACACCTGCCCTTTATTCTTGATAATTGCCCAAAAATATTATCGGAAGTTCGTATGGTAGACAAAAAGCTTAATGGAATCTTCTTTATTTTATAGTTTGACTCGCTTCCAGAGTTAATGGTATCCTTTTCAAAGCATTTCAGGGCTTGTTTCAGACGCCTTATTCTCAGTTATACATGAAGCATGCTCAATAGGTGTTGAGTATGCTTCGTATTTTAATTAGCCTGACTCTGGAGCAGGAGCAGCAGCGTTGGGCGCTTAGGCAAACTCGTTGAGCACCAGTGGCTATGATGGTGTGGCGGATTTGTTGGGGGGAGCGGGGGGGGGGGGGGGGGGGGCGCTGTCATGCTCTCGACTGAAACATAGCCTGTACACTGATGCAAGGCTCAGATGGGCACAAAGGTTGACAGTACTATACGTAAAATTTTAAACATGACGCTATCTTGTTTCAAACCACCATCGCTGCCAATCTTGGGAATGTGTCAACTCAGTGATCCCCTGTAGGCTCTAGCCATTCTGAAACGATACCATTAAAATGACGGGTTTGCAAGTTGTTCACATACTCTTGATACTTAAATGCTGCAGGTCAGATAGATTAGCAATGCATAACCGTACAATATTAACATGTGTAGCGATAACACACAGTAAAAGGCGTCGTGGTAATAACTAATTGTAAATTCGCGTTCTGCTGTTCATTGAACTCTCACTCTTCAGAACTAAAATCTGTTTATACTTAGTTGTTGAGGCTCAATTACCATGACACTATACTTGTTGTCGCGTGAAGGAAAAAAAAAGTTTTGTGCATACTTAAAACGCTGCACGAAGTAGTTCTGACCATAATGTGAATGTCAGAGGGGGAACAGAACATCTATGTTATATCCGTTGGAAACATGTTTGTTATTCGCTTAGAGATTTGATCGGCACGGCTCGTGTGGCGAAAAGCAGAACTACGCTTTGTTTTACCCTTACTTGATCAAAACGAATGCCACGGACCCCAGGCCTTAGGAAGTATGAATGCAGCGCTCGTGCACTGAAATCAACTGCTAAGAGCTAGGGCTCCGTACCCTTGCCCATGCTCTGTGCCAAGGGAATCGCCACGTGTCTCATAGGGAACCGTGAATAAACAAGAGCACGCTTCCCCTAATTTCAATTTCAGTCTCGGGGCGAATAACAAAACAACAAATGAGTTATTATGACCACACATACAAGTATCTTAATTCACCGCGCAGAGATGGGAAGATAGTAACGCTCCGCCAAGAGCGGAATGCTCATTATATGCGTTCTTATGGAGGTGAAAAGGAGCGTAGAGCGACCAAGAACCAATGCCCCTGTTCTTGATTATCTTCAGGTGGAGCTTGCCCGCAAGCGCGGCTGGAAGGGCTACTGGGTGTGCCTGAAAGGCACGACGCTGCTGTTCTACCCGTGCGACAGCCGCGACGGCCGGGCCATCGACTCGACGCCCAAGCACCTTATCATCGTGGACGGCGCCGTCATGCAGCCCGTGCCGGAGCACCCCAAGCGGGACTACGTCTTCTGTCTCAGCACCGCCTTCGGGGACGCCTACCTCTTCCAGGTGACGCCTCGAGTACACCTTACACCTCCCAGAGGTCAAGGCCGTATCGCTTTCGAAGGCGTCTTACACCTCCTAAATGACAAAGCCGTAGGGCTGGGATTTTTACGTCATGGGCAGATACTGGGCACGAGTGCAGCCCCGGCGTTCGGCTGGGACTTGTGTTTTCACTGATCAACTGCTAACGCTAGGCACGATCCCAATCCTATCTCCGCGCTGGCCTCCAGTTGCTGACGTAGAAACTTTAGCACCATGGCCCTGTTGTCATAAAACATATTCAAAAGCAAGCTGCAAAAATAATGTTTTTCCTCGTAATCTTAGGGGTCATGCTATTGTTTTGGATGATGTTGTTTGATGAATCGGGAGTAGTGTTTCAGTTTTGAAGGTTGCCTCCAATTCTCGTTATGATATTGCATATTCTGGGAGGCTTATCGCATAGTTCGTTTACCCCCTCAGCATCACAAAATGTCCACGTAAGCACTTTGGCTTACTTAAATCTTTAAGATTATTTAGAGTGCGCACAAATGAGACGCAAACGGAATTCAAACAAAGTATAGTCAGTGACCTGCGGCATCTTATTATATAAAGAAAAGTAAATAAATAAGCTTACAATCAAAATACGCGTGATTTGTTGCTATAAGATTTTCCCCGCAAAGTATCGTATGCGTAAAGGGTTGCGCTGCCCGTCTTGTAGATAAAGGCACCGTTCTAATCATACGACTGCTGGCACACACTTCAGCTTTCTTCATAGTGCTTCCGAACCGATCGAAATCGCGGCCACATAGCGTGACAAGGCTCCATGCAAAGACGGTGCGCAGCCCGTAGCGTGAACGGATTCAGTTATATTGCTCCCGGTTGGCGTGTGTCTTGGCGCCGGGGTGCGTGCGCTTCCCAGCTTGTGGACCTGGTGTATATGCACGCATGCGGGCACGAGGTGGCGTGCGAAGGCGCGGTGAAGTGTGCTGAAGAGCGCGACCGCTGCTGCCTTTTTGGCGTGCGGCCACGCTTCGCAGGCGCCCTGTCAAGTGGAGCTGGAGAACTGGATCAACAGCATCCACTCCGCTTGCGCGGCAGCCTTTGCGAGGCATCGAGGGCGCACGGGAACCTTGCACCTGCTCCAGGAAGAGATCTTTCGACTCGAGAAAGAGATTGAGTCGGTACGCCGAGTTTTTCTTCTTTTGCATCAGCATGCTTGTATTTTGTTTTTGAAAAAAGATTGCTGTAAATGTGAACATAGTTTTTTTTTGTAGTTTTGTATTGTATGAATGATGATGAATAAATTTCAGTTCCTTGCAAGGAATGTATTCTTTCTGAGCGTAACTTGGCAAGATAAATGGTAGGGCCCTTTAAGTCAACCAGAGGGACGAAGCAAAGCACGTAACCTCTCTCTAAGGCGAGATACTTTTTCACGTGGCTCGCCTCGAAGCTCCGATTGGCTTGTTGGGGCCGTAGCTTTGGCCGTTTGCCGAATTATGGTATACCGGAGAATATGATGTGTTCACTCGCGTAACTTCATCCACCATTTCGTTATTATGAGATGTTTGGTGCGTGCTGAAGGCCAGCATTTCAAGGAGTCACGTGACACTCTTAAATGCCTAGTTTTCTCCTGCGAATACATCGTGACGTGCTTATAAGCTCGTCACGATGACGTGGAGCAACAAAAAGGAGGATTAACGTGGTGCGAACACCCCGTATAAAATCAGGCAGCCAAAAAGGCGTGAAGCTTACGTTATTTTCTCGCGAATAATATTTCTGGAAGTCCCTTAGAAGGGTAGTTTACCTTTCATCATGAGGCTTATAGCTTCTTTAATTCCCCGAAGAAGGTAAATTCTTTGGTAGTTTCCGTTTTGAGGCTTCGTGAAGGACATATTTCAAGATGCTCGATATAGTATGGTGTTCAATCAAGCGACCAACACGTGCTTGTGGCAATGCAGTTTTGTGCTGACCATTTTTTTTTCCTCTTCTAATTAAAAAAAAACTCGGCAAAAGTTTGTTTTTGATTTACAGCTTGAACTTTTCTTTATTTCTGTCGGATAATGTGAATGTGATCTGAGAAGGTTTCTTTACCCAGCTCGTAGCGTTTGTTACGTTTAGTATAGTCACCGACAAGATGAGAACGACTGGGAAAAATTTCAGTTGTCCCGCCTCCAGCGCGAGTTTCCTCTAGCTTCGATAACGCTTGAGCGTCTCGCGAGCCTCGAGCGTGCACGCGCAACTGAAGCACGGCGGAAGGCAAAGAACGCGTGCTCGAGGCCGGCCATTCGAAAGAGTCCAACCTGCTGCCGTTCTCATCCTGCCAGTGACTATAGGAAAGAAGCACAAAGAGAGAGAGATAAGGAATAAAGAGCATATACGGTGACGTCCGGGAGCCGAACATTGATTGGAAGGACTGAGGGGTTGAGGCAAACGCTATAAGCTGCCTTTGTCCATACCACCTATCTCCCCTCCCATCAGAGCGAACGCCTTCTGCTCCTGGCGCGTGGACTGGTGTTTGAACGTTGGACGCCGTCGTTCGGTGTACGAACGCCAAAACCCCGGCGCGAGGAGCAGGGGTTAGTCTTCCTTGCTCTAGTCTGTGGCAGACAAAGGCTAACCACCGTCCTCCCAATTGGAGCTTGGCGCTCTGACCTCGCCGCACGCTCTGGGCTCCTCCTCTCTTCCTCCTTATAAACGCGGTCGGTCTTTTATTGAGTGGTAACATTCCCCCTTCTCCCCCCCCCCCCCCTGATTCCCTGGCGCGCAGGACGCGAAGCTGAAGCACATGGCCGAGCTCCAGCTGACGGTGGTGGTGGACGCGGAGTCCCGGCAGACGCTGTCTGACCAGATCGGCCAATGGGAGGAGAACCTGGAGCGGTTGCACTGCGAACAGTTCCGCCTGCGTTGCTACATGGCTTCGCTGCAAGTGTCCGAGCTGCCCAACCCAAAGGTAGGCGCTCGTTCGCCGCAGGTGGGGACGACGCTAAGCTGCTTGGAGCTTGTGGGGAACGGTGTTCTTTGGAACTCCCTTCTTCGAGGACTTTTCTTTTAACTCTACGAATTCAACCGTTTGTTCCCGCTATTCTTACACGTTTGCATTCGTTCGACTGCAAGAACAAGTCATTACGTTTCCTGAAAATCATCAGATGGCATGGCGGTCATTTGCACTTCGGGACAGATAAAGATTATGACTGAATTTGGGCGGATTTGTTTTTGGTCTTGAACACGCACATACCGCCTAAAATTAAAAAAAAAAGTCCCTAATGTGCCTTCCCGTGTTACGGCATTTCCAGAGTATCGAAGGTTTTTATGTGCAATGTACAACTTATTTTTTTTAGTAACTTATATCTGGAGATGACTGCAACACCCTTTTAGTTGAAATATGCCGATGATATGTAAATGCAACAATGCGTTGCATTGTGCGAATTGGGATGTTATGACATTGACTTGAAACGTTTCTATTTTTATAACACGATCCCGCCGAAGATAATGCGAACTGACAAAAAAGTAAGTATTCTTTCCGGTTAACAGAAAGTGTTAAACCATAAGTTCCACCGGCACCGATACACCTGACAGGTTAACGAGTGCACATGGTTGTCCGGTCTGGCGCATGCGCAGAACCTGCTGACGCACGTATCGAAGGCGACCAAGGCGACCCTGAACAAGCTGGGCGTGTTCACGGTGTCCTCGTTCCATGCATACATCTGTGCCCGGAGCCCGTCCCTCCTGACCAACCTACTCTCGGGACGGGGCGCCACCAAGCGGAGGTCCCGCGCCGCCCTCTCGAGGTCCAACAGTGCAAAGTGCGTCGCCTCGTCACGGATAGATGAGCGCATACACCCTACTTCTTTGCCAGCTACACTGTAACTCTTGTTGGTCTCTATTGCTCGTTAACTTGCTGTTTGGATTAGAAGCCTATGCTTCTTACCATTAGATTGCATACTATAGTCAAGTAGAGGTCAATAATACGCCAGAAGCCTTTCCAACACCCCTTTACAGCCAGCCACTGTTCCTCCGCGATCCGCAAATAGTCCTTTACCGAGGCGCATGTCGCGCTGGCGTCACATTACTCTTCATGGCTCGTGCCTTTCCTGATTGTTCCTCGGATCTATTTGATGCCGTAATTGGTACGTTGTTTGTTTTTCTGGTGCATCTCTTGCTAGCATCCGATAGGAGCCTTCCTCGTGGCCTGAGCGTTGCTGTCTGTCATTAAACCTCACGAAAACCTGGACTGTAAAATGCGTTTCCTGACTTCTGTGTTTATGACGGAAGATACTGAGTGGGCATTGGGCCTTTTACCTTAAAAGTCATGAGGCCAGGTTAGACCTTCCAAGTGGAGGGACTAATGTTTTTGTTTTTTTTGTACTAAAAGTGAAAGTAGAGTGGAGTAGCGGCGGAAAATAAAGTACCGTTTATCACGCTACACGCCGTGTCGGCGTGTTAAGAAGCCTCTCCTCTAGCGTTTTACCTTACATGTTATGCACTGTTATGCATAACTCACCTTCGCTAGCACTGAGCGAAGCGTGTTCTGTCGCATGAGATGCAGCTTTTTAGGCCGCCTGTCCTAATTCACCTCAGGAGAGGAGATGCCGAGCTATTAAAGGCACAGCTACACGAACTAAGCAGCATGCTGTTGTTGTTTGTTCGTTCTTTGTTCGTTATTCAGTTGTCGTCCATACTGGCCTAGCAACTACGATGTTTTAAGTTTGGTTCGGAGAGAAATGTTTTTGGCAGCGCACGGGCATTTCTGGGGTCTCTGCCTAACAAATAAAGAGTGTAGAGATCCAATGCACATCCAACTCTACAACTAATGCCGCGTTGATTTAGTCGAATAAAAAAACTCGTTAAGCTGAAAGATTATACATCCCTTCAATTATTTTTGATTTTAAGTTATCCTAATGACCGCCCCAGTGACTGGTGTAGAACTTTCGTTTTCGGTGCTTGACATGTGGGCAGACTAAGCGCGGTCGTTTGCCTAATGCATTGACCCGCTTGTTCCAGAAGGCTTCTGAGCATGCCGTCGTCATCGATGCAAAGCAGCTTAGACCTCCCCGCCTTAGGAGAGAAGAGTGTGAAGATTAACTTGCCAGATAATCAAGTAAGTGCTCGCCTTTTCTGTGCTTATTTCCCAAAGGAAGTTGATAATGATTCTAAGTTTCTTGCATGATGGAGAAGTTACACAGTTGCGGCGGTTTTTGATCCATTAAACTTCTGTTTTCACGAAAAGAGCTGAACGTTATATCTTAGACAGAAGTGGAAGACAAAACGGCCGACGTTTTTTACTGTGAAATAATGATTTAGATTAGTTCGTGATTTTCTCTTTTTTTCGTAACATAACTGACATCTTTCAGTTGTTGTTGGGGCCGCCATATGGGGGATGGGGTCATGGGGTTGGTGTCGCTGTGGATCACATGACTACGTTACGTGACGTCAGGTCATGTGACTTCACGATGGACGTCGTGTTGTAACGTGACACAACGTTAAAAATGTTCGTAGTAAGGCGACTGCCCCACCCCCTTTCCCCCCGTTTAGGTTTAGATGGCCATTTCCGTAAAGGACTTTCGTAACGTATTTTCACAACACTGGCAAGTTCCTAGTTCTTCCCTATAAACTATGATGCATTTGCTTCTAGAAAAAAAACGCAGAGCTATTTTTTTTTCTTAGAAAGTTGTCTTTTTTTTGTTAACACTTCTTATACGAGTAAAAGCAAGGGAAGCCAAGAATTGAGAGATATGCCGACGCAGAGCTTCGTGTTTTTGAGGCGTTTTCTGCCGAAAGCAACGCCATTTCCCTGACTTTAATTTGGGGCGGGTCGACGCAGGCGGTGATCGTGGGAGTCCGAGACAACATGAGCGTCGAAGAAGTGCTCTGGGTGGCCTGCAGCCGAAGGCAGTTGTCGCCCAACGACCATTTCCTGCGCTTCCGCAGGAGGAAGGACTCGGACGAATGCTACGTCGCGGCGCGCACTGAGATCTTCGACAACTTGGTGAGCAATTCGTTACCTGGTATGCCCGTGTGCTCTGCCTCTGTGCGTTTTAATGCGAAAGCATTAACTATCCCATGGAGCGAGCAGACGTAATCAGTTTGAAGCGCGAAAACGGCACTTTCATTCCTTTCTCCAAGTGAACCCAGCTCCCAGCTATGAAACCACGCAAAAAACTTTGACGACACCTAGTTTCCCCGATCCCAGAGGAGCGGAGTAGAGCTGATGGATTTTCGGCTTCGGTCCCATTGGCTGGCGCGCGTCGACGGGGCTCCCATTTGCCGCTGCGCGTCAGTTTCAACGACCGCTCACCTCATGGCGCTGTGTGCCCGTCAGTGTGCCGTTAACACGGAGCGTCCGAGGTCAGCGCTCCCAGGAGAGTGCGCGCGCTGACCGGCGACGAAAAGTACGCAGCAGACGAAATAAGGGAGCGGACAAGCGGCTGGCATGCTTTCGCATTCACAACTCATAAGAAGTACTTATACCTCGAGACTTGTTTTTGGAGGTTCCTCCTCTGAATTTATAACTTTCCGAGGAAATGTTCAGCTTGAGGGAACGTGTTCTTCTCGACAAAAAAAAAGAAGATTAATTTGAGCCGGTAAAACTAACAATTTATCAAAGTAGAATAAGCTTTCAAGGACGCAGAATTAATTGATATGCAGGTACCTACGAGTTGTCGTCCTTCCTACGTGCAGTCTAGTAGATGATCTTGGTGGTAATTTTATATGACGTGGTTTATTTCATATGCACGACGGTTTGAACGAAAACCGCCTTGCGTAAAACCTGTGTTGAAATTTTTTTTTACGTGTGCGTGACGTTTTATGCGCTTAAATCCGACTACGCAAACAATCCAAGTCCAGGGTGTGCATGCCATGCACTTAGCCGGCTTCGTAATCCGATAATTCGCGTCGACACTGCGAATACGTACAGTTACGTCCCACTACAGAGTTCTCGACCAGGCTCTTGTCTACTGAAAGTCTGCCATGGAAAAAAAACACGTGGGGAATAATAATTAATAACTCGATAATAATCGGATCCCAAATATTCGGTTTTCTCCAAGAAAAGAAAAAAACTAAGCATTTTTTTTCTCTTTTTGTAATTTATAATAAAGCCAGCCGTAGTAATCTCGCCGGTTCGACCTTGAGTCCTATGATCCTTGCTCAACATTGACTTCGCCCTTATGTGTAATATAAAATGCATGCCGTAAAAACGCTCAGTTTTGATTTGTCCTAATTCGAAAGCTGGGAAGCGAGGATTTTTTTTTATAACTTTTACACTGCTGTGGAAAAAGTCACCCCTGGCAAATCTAGCGTGCACTTTGGTAATCCACAGAAGAGCCGAGCCCGAAAAGACGCAACTTTCAGACCTCTTGACGAATTACCTGCATAGACTATCCATTTCTTCTGTGAATTTCGTTGAAAATAAGCCGTGGTTATACTTATTATTATCCCTTAATATCTTAGACATTGTCACAAACAGTTGCTTTCCGATTCATAACCTTGCTGGCTCTCTGACACAGAGGCTGGTGTCGCGACTGCCTATTGTGCTGCTCAAAGGCTTGGTGCGGTAGTGAGCTTAATGCTTACATGTTCTTTTTAAATTTCATCTGCCCTCTTTGTCCTCTTCCGCTCTGCAGAGCTTCGAGAGCCTAGAGGTGTGTGCCAAAGTGTTGTATCAAGTGGGGCTGTCGAGGAGTTCCCTGGACCAGCTGTTTGGCTTCAGCGTCGAAGCTGAGCTGGTCGAGAACACGGACCACCAGGACGAACTCTGCGTCTATGTCAGCAGGGTAGAAGAAGGCAGCCTTGCTCACCAGCAGGGTAAGATTCAAGACACGGTCGCAGCTACCCAAGGGCTACCAACCTGCACCAATGTGCCATTTCATTATTTTGATTGTTTAAACGCTGACGTTTGCTCGGCAGGAAGGCTGCTAAAAACTTGAGAGATAAAGGTTCATTGGCGTGTCTACAAGGACGCTTTGTAGTGCTCGCATTTTGGGACGAGAGATTCGGCGTTTTCAAACCGGATTGAATGACTCTCACTTAAGGGCGTCATGGTGCGACTGCCACGCGTTGTTAGACTTTTTTCAGAGTAGTAGGGACAATACGCGTGACTTTCGCTGAACCGCTTTACACGTTAAGCTTAGCCACGGTGAGCTTAGCTCACGCGATTTGATTTTACTCGTAATTTCGAAGTTGTGACCTCGAGCACCGCAGCTTCCATCCCGCATTTTTGACAAACGAGCGACGTTGCAGCTGGGAATACCATCTTGTGAATCAGGCGTTAAACGTTCGATAGAGACTGAACGGTTGGAGTTTCGAATGGTAACTCAAAGCCACAGCCGCCATATTGCGCGTGTGTCACTGATGGGTGCGCGGTGTTTCCCGTTTTCTGCAGGTCTGATGAAAGGGGACGAGATCATGGTGATCAACGGCGCCATCGTGAGTGACCTGGACATGATGTACATCGAGTGCGTGCTCCAGGAGGAGCTGTCGCTGTGCATGATGATGCGCTCGTCAAGAACCGAGCCCCCGGACCTGGCGAGCGCTATGCGCACCACGGACGACTACATCGAGTCGCTCGTGTGCCCGCCGCCACCCAGCGACAGCGTACTCAGCGACGAGATGATTGGAAAGCTCATCGTGCCCTCACCCATATGGGGTACGTAGACGCCCTCAGAAGATGTCCCTATGACGCTGCTGCGAATGCCACATGCAGGTTTCTAAGCTGAGGCTATGTTGGGCTTGCTGGTGGGCTGAGCGTATGCTTTATAATGTATCAGTCACTCATCATGGAGCTTATCATCTAGGGAACACAACATACACAAGTAATTGCAAGGGGGGCAGGAGAAAGTAAGTGCGACTAAATGTTCGCTAGTGCTTTGGTATGCATTTAAGGGTCAACAGCCAGAACTTAATGTTCACAAGTTTGAATGGGAGTTTCAGCAGTATGATCTCGAATATAGAACTAGTAGATAGCATGATCAGATATTAAATTATGTATAACTTGGTACCGTTATCGGTACAATGGGGGGGGGGGGGGGGGCAATGCGTTATTGCCTGTTATATTTTATTATATTATCTATCCACGCTTTAAATACACCTATTATTTGAGAGAATATAGCCCTCAGCTTATATAACATATGGTACATAATTATATACGTTATATTAGCTGCGATACTCTGAAGTACTTGATTCGATTGCCGGAGCTAGACTCAATACTTTTTTGACCATCCTGTATCAAGATGACTATTCTTCTGGAATAGTCATGTTGACTGCGATATGAGCGTGGTCATGGTTTATAGTTTCTGACTTATTTTGGTGGAGAGATGGTACCTGTCATGGAAATGTGCCTCCCAGAGTCAAGAGCCGGAACTGCGAGAGGCCCGGTTAACTTCCCCGCCCATGTCCCACATGCCCTCGCGTTTTCAAAGCATGGAATGCTTTATAATTGAAACCCCCAGACATTTGTTCGTCCATGTGTCCGTGCGTCCCACCAAATCCCATGTAAAGGCATAAGATATGCGCGAGGGGTAAGTGGTACGCGGTCATGTGGCATCAGGCCACGTGACATCATGGTGTCTCGTGTCACTGTGCCATATGATTTGATGTTTCATTCCCACTCAACACCTGCTTGGAACGCAAGCGCTTAGCTTGAAAGGCTGACTTCGATGCCGTGACGCCACTTGACCTTGTCGCGTGACGTCCGTGTTATTCACATTGTGACGTCACGTGACGTGAAGAGAATATGACGTCGTAACATCAGGCGTCATGTTTAAAAGATGGTTCTTTAAATACGGCATCGCGTGCATTGTAGAACTTTGAAGGTAAACATCGCTGCAAATTTTTCTTGCATACGCCTTTCTTTCTGACGCCTGTCTCGTGCCCTCCCCCACCAATGGTGTCCAGGTTCGCAAGAACGGTCTCCGGACACGTCGGGTCGCCCGACGCCCTCGCCCGTGCCGCCACAGGACCAGGCCAGCCTCTCCTGCGAACAGATCGAAAGCTTGCTCAAGGTCATCGAGGACTCCTGCAAAAAGGTCACACGCGCCTTTCCACATCAGTCGGAGTATTGGTCGCGACATAAGAACCGTCACGACCACACTACGGTCAAAATGAAAAACCAAGGGTCTTGAGTCAATGAAGTGCAAGCCCGAAATTGCTCTTGACGCACGAGTCAAGATATGTTTCCGAAGTGGCGGCGCTATACCTGCTGATATCAGTATGGTTCTACAAACATTCAGTCTGTTAAAACTCTTAAATGGAAAGTTTTAGCGGGTCGTGTTTTTGTTCAACAATACTGGTATCGGGAACACGTTTTATCTTCGGCAGTAACTGCCTTGAAGTGCGCTCTCGAAATGGTATGGGGACTCCTAAAGTTACGCGCCAAAACCTTTTGTTATTCTACAATTGACTTCCTACCCCGTCGGGGCAAAAGCTACGACACCGAGTGCTACTTGCTTTTAGTGTCTTCGTGTAAAAGCAGGGAAGTAACGCAAATGTCGTTGAAGGCAGCATGTCGGTGTTTGTGGCGTCGGAGTCATTCATTCGTAAACTAGAAGGGAGCATTACCTCGGGCAGATAGATGACTGCGAAAGTGAGGTCGAGGTACACCGTTGAAAGTACCCCACTTCCAGGCCTCTTGTCGCTCTATAGCCTTGTTTCAAAACGGCTTGCAAAAAAAAAAAAAAAAGTGTTCAGGGAAGCTCGTTCGGAAGCATCGAAATTTTAACTCTATGACGACAAAACTGGAATGTAACAAAACACATTTGAAACTACATTCCCTGTTGCGAGCGGAGATTGTGCAAACCTATTGCGCTTACGGAGATGCTCAGCGACAGCTAACGCTGGATGATGGGGCAGTTGCTTGGCGCAGACCGCGGAGCAGGTTTTATAGCCTATATTAATGTCCCCCTGAATATTGGATATGGAATCACCGAGCCGCAGCTAACGTTCGGTTGTGGGGCGGGTGCTCGGTGCAGACCGCGGAGCAGGTGACAGAGTACTGCCGCGTGCCCGCGGAGCGGCGGCGCTCCAGCCTCGCCGGAGGACTGCCTACGGCGGCGGCGGCTGCAGCGGCCGCGGCGGCCGCGGCCGCCGCTGCCTCTCAGCAGCAGCACCCGACGTCGCACCACCAGCAGTTGCAGTCTCAGCTGTCCCAGGGCAGCAGCAGCGGCATCCCCTGCGGGCCGAGTCCCGCCGCGGTGGCGGCTGCGGCTGCAGCCGCGGCGGCCGCGGCCGTGGGGCAGGCGGCCGCCGCGAGCAAGCACATGTCTGACGTGGAGAGGCTCCGCAAGGTCATTTTGGAGCTCGTGGAAACGGAGAGGACTTACGTCAAGGTAGGGGCACCCGTGGCCGAGCATAAGGTGTCGACGCGCGGTTTGGGTGGAGAACTAGTCGCACTAACGCGTTGTCGGTATCTTCACTCTTGACTCAAAAGTTTGGTGCACCGTTTTCGAGGGCATGCATAAGCGTGCGAGCGCAGTTGTACGGGTAGCAACTGATAGAGAGGAGGAGATAAGAGCGCGCGGTGATGTCAGAACAGCGGGCGCTGGTTCGAATAATTAGTGGGTAGAGGCAAAGCTAGCTGCCCTTGTCTCTGTCCCCCTTTCCAAACGTGTTGTTACGCCGAACAGCCGGCGTCCAGCGTTCGCGTTCCAACAGCGAGTAGAGACAAACGCAGCTAGCTTTGCGTCTACCCACTAATAATTCCAAGCGGAGTTCTGAGTTTTGACGTCTTCGCACGCTCTCATTTCCTTCTTCCACTTCGTTGCTATCCGTGTACAAAGTCGTCTTGTTTGCACAAACACACACGTAGAAAAAAAACAAAAAAACTCTAGTTTACGCGCACTCGCCTATGCATCTTTCACTGTAACCTGTGGCAGCGGTGAAACTTAAGAAACCTGTCTGCCACCTCTTTGTATCGACACAAACGTCGGCATCTTGTCAGGAGAAGTATAGTTTTGCGGAGTTCGGCGAAGTGTCAGATGAGTTGCTTTTTGGCATTGTTGCGAGATACTCAATCATTGGAATTTATTTTGCTGTTGTTGCGCCCATCAGCAAAAATCGATATGTAGCTCTGCTATCCGAGGTGTTAATTTTCTTTTTCATCCACAATTTCCTGATGCAGTTAGTCATATCAGTTTTGTCTAAGAGATTTGCCAAGCAATAAATGCAACAAACCAATCTCCAATGCAGGATACGTTGACGCCAAACTGAATTCAAATAGTTATGCTTTTACGGTGAGATATTGGCGTTGAGGTTATGTTTTGGGTAACGTCAAGCAGGAGCGTTTAATTCGCTGTTTACAACGTTCAGATCATCAGTAATAATTTGGCCTGTACGGGCCTGTTATAAAATTGATAAGGCTCAAAACTGCACAAATTATTGCTCAATTATTGTGACTAACTTCTCATTTCTTCAACGTTAAAACTCACTCCCTAAGAAACTCAATTTTTTTGTGCGATTGAAAACTTTTTCTATTTTCAAAGAAACACGTCGCAGCAATCATATGCTAAATTGGAAGTTGCGCTTATCTTGATCCTGCTCGCGGATTTTTTTTCCAATGATGGTGAGAGTTTTTATTAAGTAAGCCCGAGGGATTTCGATTAAAGGGACCATGAAGTCAATTTTCGGCTGCGAAATTATGATTTTTCTAATAGCATATCGTTTAGTATGCCATAATAAAACTAGTGTACGAGCGTAGAAAGCCTAAAGCCCGTTTTTTGGCCCGAAAATTTGAAAATACGGCGGGCTATTTCGTACTTCTTCCCTTCAAAAACTCTCCGCCTTTTCACTGTGATGCATCCGCGGTGCCCAAGCGCGTCAGCCGAACCCAGCCCACGCAGTGGACAAGAGCACTACGTAACTCGAACGTATGCGCTTGTCAACAATCAATCGGTCGGCGAATATTTGAATTTGCCTTCGTGGCCAATGAGTGCCCTGACGGCACTTGTCATCACTTGAGAATGACAAGTTCCATGGCGTGCTTAGAAAGCACGGTGGAAGCTTGGAGTCATCGCGTTCGGTGCCCAAGCACGTCACGACCACGTGATTTCTCATTTTGCTCTTGAGTTGAGGATTAAAGGTAAGAAGGATGAAATTGAAAAATCATTTCATGGTCCCTTTAACGCAGAGCATCTGAACAGTCAATGAGGACCTTTTAGGAGAAACAGGCCAGCGAATAATGAGGCATCTAAATCGATTTAACATTTATTGTGTTTTAAATCACTGCGAAAATGGCGTCTTATAGCTAGAAAAAAATATCAGCGGCTCGTCATTTGCTGCTTTTTCTATAAAAGGATTTATAGATCCCTGCTTGCCTTGTGGAAAAGTAGACGCGAGAGCTTTGTTTATCAAACGTTTGCCCTATCTGGCAGGCTCTACAATGCTTCTCTAGCATAGTGAAAAAGTTGTAGAAATAAAAACGACAACAAATTCGTAGATCTCATCTCTTCGTGTGTTTTAGTCACATGATAAATATGCAGGTCTACTAAATGTAATTTCAAAAATCAACTTGCGTCGAGTGTAACTGTTGGCTGGCTTTTTGGTTACAGAAAAGGTTCGTCAACGGTGCTGCATTAGAATGTTTTACAGGGGTCATATAATTGGGGTTGTTGAAACATTTATTCTTCTCTAATGCAATTGAAGGAAGGCTCCGGGTAATGACAAAATGTGGTTTCATTGTTTTTGTAAGTTTCTTATATTGAGAATATTCGAGAGTCTAGCTATTCGGACTGTTAGGCATAGACTATACATATGTGGCGTATTTCTGGTTGTACTACATCTGTTTGTTAGCGCACCTGGAAGAAGTTGATGCAATAAAGATTGGGACAATTTAGTCCTAGTTTAGGAGCTCCTCGAAGTAACCGCAGGAGTTCCTTCGTGCGTCTTGCCTTTACCCATTGAATGGCAACCAACTCGAATATTTCAATGTATGTAGGTTCACAGCTCGTTATTTGTATCGAAAAAGTTGAATGAATTCATGCTCAAAACAAACAAAAATAGGGTACATTGCACTGCGCATTTGCAAAAAACGTTTCTGCCAACGAACTAAACATTTCGTCTGGTCGTTCGATGCAACCAAATATCTCTTTAAATATATGCCTCCACCAAAGCGATTTTTGGATACAGACATTCCTTGAAACTTTTTAGGTGTGAATATGACAGTGCGCATGCTTCGTAGTTCCGTGTTTCTATGTGCTTTATCTAAGGGCCTAAGACGATGATGATGATGTTTTATATAGCATCTCAGAAATTGAGGCCCCAGCACGTTCTGCACTTGTGCCCTCGTGATCACTCCCAAAGTCAAAGGAAAACGAAACTGAGAACGCCTTGGAAAGTATGTTGTACACACGTACTGGTCGTCACAACGCGCGCTTCACTATGCACTTTCAATATTGAAATGATCGTATTTTACTCCATCGATCTTCTACCGACGCGGTGGTTATGCATCGGTTTCTTTTTGGCCGTTTAATTAGATTTACGAACTTTGTTTAAGTATCTTGAAGCGAAGAAAAAAATGCTCTTAATGTTTAAAGGAATATGTTTCAGTTTCCTTCGGCTGGTGACGCTTATTGGGTGTTTTTGTGGGGTTTTATTTTGCTAACGGGCCATCATTTTCTTTGGCCACCATCCTAAAGTGCTTAGTCACGTTTGCTTCCGTTGTTTTGAGTTACAGGTTTGTGAACTCTAAGGCGACCTTACGTTGCTCGGAGATTTTTATATAATGCTGACTTTCCTTGCCCACTCCCAGAAACATCTACGTTGTACGGTTTTTGAATATTTGTAGACTATCATCACAGTGAGATTACCCTGCGAAATATACAGAGGTAAATCTTCCAAGGGCAGGTGCGTTTTTTCCCCGATTCTTGACCTCTTTTTGAGGGATGATATTTTTGGTGTATCGTCCCCGAGGGGTTTTGAATTTTTATTTTTGGATTTTCACTCGATGGTCAAAACTAGCAACAAATTTGTAATTGTAATTTGCATATATGTATTTATTAAACGAAGTGGGGGATTATGACCACGAGTGTCCGCTGTGACGGTGGCGTTCCATTCTTATGTTATCGCAGCACATGAGCGAGCTGGTTGAATGGTATGTGGCTGCGTTGCAAAAGGTAAATCCAATCCGTCATCACTACGTTTTCCGATTTTCCTTCTTTTTTTCATCTCTCTTTGTTGCTCTTTGTTGCTTTCCCTTTTTTTTTTCTTCATGGAAACTTTATCCTTCCAATATTTTTTTCTCATATCCCTCGTCTTCGTACGTGCTCTAAAACGACGTTCACCTATCACTCGTTAGATACCCGACGTCACATCGTTGGTGTTTCTTCCTTGGCATGCCTGCACGCTCAGAAACGCTGTCAACGCAAAAACTCAATCGGTGGCCGCGCCTGAGATCCAATAATAAAATATTCGCGAACATTTTGCAAAAGTAGAAAATATTTTACATTGGCCTAGTTCAATTTGTTATATTAGGGATGCCCGTTTTCACTATTCACCTGGAAACGGAAACAATCTACGCCGGATAGACAGAAAGGTTATTCAAGATAACCGCCTTTAATGTCTAACTACAGCTGTTACCTTGTGTTTTGAGGTGAGAGAGGTGATAAGAATGTGAACAGTGGACATGAAAGTGTAATTTTATTAAAGATACGTAATCGCAAAGGCTAAATAAGCAACCAAACTTCATGTTTAAACTGTCTTTTATACTCAATATTAAACAAAAGATTATATATATATATATAGATATATAATTTAAAAACATTATTTCGGAACAACCTTATCGAGTTAGGCTGACTTCAGCGAAATAATTACCTTTTTATATATTCGTCTCAGTTGGCACATTTCAAATTACAGATTTGTAGCTCCATTGTTACAATAGGCACTTGCTAAATTTAAAATTTCTAGCTTTAATTTTTTGTTTTTCCCGCTTGACGGGTGAACGGAGGTAATCAGGTGGGCGCCACGCCCAAACTAAGAGAGCAAGTTCGCTCTGAAGCAAGAAGCTCTAGAATATTGAAGGCCTCCGAACGCTCCACTCTTCCTCGAGGAAACGTCATCACGGTCGGATGACGCCAACTCAGCAATTGGACCCGAGCCCGAGGCCGAGCGTCTTTCGAGGCGTTTATTGGACACGGGGCCAAGCCGAGCACTGACGTAGGACTCGTATCCAATCCCTGTCTTCGCTCGATCTCACTCTGATGACGTTAAAATTCTTGTGCACAGGCTTTGAGTATTACAGGTGGTGTGGGCGGAAGCCGCCGCCAGTAAGCGCGCATGCACTCAGTTTCTATATCACTTATAAAATCTCAAACAGATACGGCTATAGCGAGCCAATCAGAACAGGGTTGTGAACCGCGGGTTTATGTACCGTCGGAACGCAGTCCTGCCATAGAAGATTGTCGCGTGTTTTGCGTCTCTATCGCAATTCACTCGAGGGGGCCGTTGCTTTTGCTCAATGCCATGCAATGGAAAATAGCACAGTGGCGATGTACGTTTGGGATGTTTCGCACTTTTCGCTCTCGAGTTTGGTATAGCTGAACACACTAGTGCAAAATAGGATTTTGGTATAGCGCGCCACAGGATTGTCTTGATTGAAGCATAAGAACGGCTATGACTTGTTTTGACGAATGGCTGCTAATATATTGGACATGTGTCTGCTAAAATAGTATTTAATTGATAAGTTATAGGTAATTAGTTCACTGATTATGCTGAGTTAATTGTAATCTACAACCTTATCCCGAGGAAGGCGATACATCTCTCTTAATTAAGGCCATTTTAATTATCCTTTTCGGTATAGAATAAAACAAATGTGTTGCATGTTCATTCCCACTCCAGATCAGCAATATATAGAACAAACTTTATTTGAGCGAAGTAAAAATCAAATTATCACCCCTAATCGCGTCAAATAATAAACGTAGAAATTTGGGAATTCTAATTATCTAGGAATCTGTGACGGGGGGATTTCAAACCAAAGTGCACGGTGTCGTCTTGTTATTAATTGATACCTGCAAGTGTTGGCTGCTTTGTGCTAGCGAACCGTAAGTGGTCACTTGTTGGGTTTTTGCGTATACAGCGTCAATTAATTTAGTATTTCTCGTCGTTTGATTGCAATTCTCCCGCATGTATGTGTAATGCCGCTCTATCGGCTTGCTTGCCCGTGTCTGCGACCGTTTGCATGAATTAAATAGCAATGTACTACCGTTGGATCTCATTCATCCGGGAGTTATTTCTGGTGTCAAAAAGTCAATTCAACCTCGAGTAAATTGAAATTAAAATTTGATTCTTAATTATTCACCAGTTCGAATGTTCTTATTGTGTATCACTTATCGTCACCACCACTTTTGTCCCAGGGGTTGTGTGGAAAACTTGCCGAGACAGAACCACCATAACGGAGCTTTGCAAAATGCTTTTCTCTGTGCGAGATCTCGTGCAAGGAACTGATTGGGCAAAGCTGCACTCTTCTGTTCTTGTTTGGTTTGCACACAACTCGTGAGATTTACTGTATATCGGCCCCCCCCCCCCCCCCCCCCCCCCCCCAGTGTCACCACTACCAAATCATCTCCGGATTCCCCAAAAGCGTTTTTCGTAAGGCGTTATTTGAGTAAGGTGAAGACCTGGGCGAGTTGGTTTTGCATATTGAAGATTAACTACAGCGCGAACTAGACGAAGGAAAAGAGAAGACGTAGACTCCTCTTGTCATTCGTCTTGTTCGCGCTGTTTTTGATCTTCAATACGCGTTATTTGATACAATATCTACTACACCCCTCTGGCTGTGTGCACCCTCAAAATATTCACTGCTTTGAATGTTCGAATATTGATGTAACCCTCCCCAGCTTGGATATTAAAAAAAGCGTTCGCACTATTTTTTGTAAAAATAAAAATCTACAATGAGAATATTTTTAGGGGAATGTCGATACCAACAGCTTTTTAATTAACATTTTTTACAAAAAAAGAAGTTGCGTTTTGTCGTCACATACGAAAGTCAAACGGCGTAGTCTTTCACACACCGGGTCTCGGACCGCTGGTTTGTCATTGGTGACATTCGGGGAATAATTATTAAATAGGTGACGTTCAGTCGGATGAGTGCGTTTCAACGTCCGTTAGTGGCCGTGTGTTGTGGCTTCATAGCAGTTTGAGACGTAGTTTCCTCGCCGAGCACGTGTTTTGCGTAGATCAGTCAGTTGATTTGCTTAGGCTTGTCTTGTGAGTGGTTGCTTCTGTTCTGCGTGATGAACGGCGCAAATTTGAGGTCGCCGTATCACGCCCAAGGACATGTGCTGTGGTGACGTGCTAGATACTAGGGTGTCATAAGGGCTCTCATGCTTGCCTTGGCGCCTTTAGTGTCAGTCGGCAATGGCGACAGTCAATCTTTGTGTTGGTCGTCTAGCTTAACTTCAAACACTTATATTGGTATTTAGTATTTTTTCATAGAGATGAGCATGAGTAGGTTTCTTTGTACTTTTTTGTATGGTTTAATCGTGTCCAAGTTTTTGTATCTTTTGAAGATTTATATATTTTTTTTTATTTCATGCAACAAAAGTTAGAGTTTTGCCTGCTTACTTCCCCACTGAATGATTAGTGAATAGAGCTTTGCCCATTGTGTTACTTGTATCCCTTAGTACGATTGCCAACTCGCACAACTTTAAGCGAAGATCACGTTGTTTTTTTTGTTTTTCTTCAAGAAGTGTTTGCAATTTCGAGGTAAACATTTTCGATTGTGTTTGGAGCAAGATGCATCACAATAATTGCGTTGTATGAACGACAAAAGAAAGACAGCGTTAACGCCGCTCCGACAAGACAAAGAAGTAGAAGCAGAAACACACTCTGTGTGTTTGTCACTTTGTCTTCTCCAAGCGTTTTTGCGCGTCTTTGGTTTTTGCCACCAAATTGTACAAACTTGCCCAACTACAAGTTTCGCTGCGATCGTAGTGACAGCGAATCTATGATGACCATAAACATCTCGAAATAACTCGGATCTTCGCCTAATGTTTATCTTGTCTGAACTCCAAGAAGTATTTTCTTTTGTTAACATAAATAAAAAAGTCATAGAACCAATTTTGTTTTGTTTTGTGGGTCCGAATTTGTTTGATAAACAAAAGGTACGTCAGCAGCTTGGTGAGTCCCGCTTACGTACAAGGGACGTCTTGCGGCGCCACACCTTGCAACGCACGCAGGAGTTGCAAGGCGTTAATTGTCACAATTGTCAATTATTGAAGACCTTTGACAATATATAGATCTTATATGTCTAGTGAAAAAAGCAAAACGACAATTATCTGGCCCCGGCTTTTTTTTTGTTTATTTTCCTGGTAAGGAAATAGCAGGGTGCCATATGGGTCGAGTTGATGGAACGATTTATTTGAAAACGACAACGTTCCGCACATTGACGGAACTCATAAAATTGACGGAGCGATTGATGTCCTGCAACATCATGGTCTCGCTGCAGACTTTTCAGGCTGCTGAGATACCGCTGACATGGTTGCAGACGTTTTCACGAAGGTAGTCAGGAACATGTGTCGTTTCCGCCGCTTTTTGTTTTTCAGAGGAAACCCCCTAGTACTAACGAAGTGAGCAAGGTGAGTGATCCACTTGAAGTTCAGCGCGCACACGGCAACGTCCCAACCCCCTTTTTGCCACTCCGCGGCACACTGCATCATATACCTGATGGAAGGCTGTTTCACACGTCATGCGTATGACGTCACTACGGCACATGTTCGAATAGACTAGACTCCCCTCTTTCCTTTTTTTTTCCCAGCAGCTTGCAGTGGCGAATCGGTGAATTGGGTTCTATGAAAGGAAGACAAACATAATATAACGCCAATTTTCTTTGAAGTGCCTTCGGTGACCCTTACTCAGAGCCCCTTGAAGGGCATCTTTAAATTCTCATTTGGCAAGTGCACGCCGAATTCTGCGATGCGGCGGATTTGTGCCTTTGTTTGTGGCACGACGAAAACCTCTATCATCTCTTCTACAATAAGACTACTTAAGCGCCCATATACCGGAGCTTCAAAGAGAGGATCCTAGTTTCTGTTTACATAGCTCATGAGTTGATTAGGAAATTAAAAAAGCAATTCCCCACTTCAGAAAGATCACATTGCTATGAATCAGTTTCTGAAGTATTGAATAGTGATTCGAGTATCGAATAGGGGGCAACCGAAGGATCGGACAGTAATCGAAATGTCGAACAATGATTGAGTAATCGGAGGTGTAATCTAATAAGGAAGGACTAAACATTCGCAGTGGGAGGTAAGTCGCTGGTCATTCAAATGACATCAGTGCGACCACGATAGATGAGGCCATGAGGGGATGTCGTAATACTGCAACACACATGTGTATTGCAGCCTGCACTGGTTGGCTTGGTCGACAGAACTGCATGTTCTTATGCATGCATGGCTTATGCTCACACTATTTATTCTAAGCATTCGGGTGCATGAAGTTTCTTTCAAGGTTCTCGGTGGCTGGGAAGCTTTCAGGTGGCGGGCTATGTTCCCGATGTTTAGTTTCTTTTTTTTTCCCCCTTACAATTTTTTTTAAATTTTAACTAAAATTCACTCTGGGTCTTGAGATTTGTCAACAACAAAGTTGGTGCAAAAGTTTACGATGCGCGACGGTCAGACCCTCGACGACGACACCGCACTTGTGTAGCCGAAGTCTAACCGGCGCGCTCCGCCAACTTTCAGCATCAACTTTGTGTTTGACGAGTCTAGGAGTCAATCCAGATTTCGTGGTTGGACGTGGCAGCCCATTTTCGATGCGTCTGCTAGCGATTAAGGAACACTAAATATTCAGACATAGCTTTAGACAGAGCGGGCTTTCACCCAACGGTTTCGCTAGCTACCAGGGTCATTCTGCTGGAGTGACTCTTTGTCGCAGAAAAACGCTGCAGTTTGTTTCAATTACGAAACGTCCTAACAAAACAGTAAGGGCGGAAGTTAGCTGGTGAAACATTGTCATAATTACAAAGCTGCATAGACGTCCCAGTTTTTTTGCTTGTATTTTTTGTTTTCCTTCGGCACATTCACATCGTGTAGCGTTTGACTGTTTGACTCTTTTGCTGACGCTTATGTTGAGGCACGACATACAGCTTGTCTTTCAATCTCGACGCTAGCCTCTGCAATTTGCTCAGACGTAGTAAACGATTTTTTAGTGAATGAGTATTTAAACTTTATTAACAAAGCACCCGTTTTCTCAGTTCTGTTAGTTTCATTGTCTTCTTGGCGTGTTGAGCACCATGCGTCCACTTTCACGGGGCCAACTTCGTTCCACTTCGTTTTCGTCGTTGACTGCATGCAGCATCTTTCGTTCATCTGTTTCAACGGCATGAGAGTTCTTCTCGTCACCAGACGTCATTTGTTTGGGCACATTTTATTGTTTTATTTTCGTTGTTGTGAACGCTACGAACGTCCTGCTGGTTCAAACTTCAGCACCACGAAGAGAATCGTAAAGATGGCACATCTCGCGTAATGTTCGCAACTTCCGAAAAATTTTTTTTTTTTTTTTTTTGTGAGCGCGAGTTTTTGAAGTGAAGTACATTTTCGGGATGAGGGTAGCTTGTTGAGACGTAAGACACGAAGGGCAGATGCGAAAGCGAGACGTAAAAGTGTTTCGACCGAAAGTACAATATACGGTGCGCACCGTGGATCTTGCGCTGTAAAACGAATCGGAAAAATTGGCGCCTGCACATAGAAAGCTCAAACTTCCACCAAATGTGCGCAGAGGTGGTGCAGTTCTACCTCGCGAAATTTCAAGGCGTAGTTCTTATTCTGTAAGAAATGAGATCATCAAACTTATGAGGGTCAACTGCTGACGTGTTCCCATACAACCGATTTTGCGATGAATATAACTTGTGGCGCCATCTCCCAGCAGGCGCACCGAGCAGAAGACGACGCACTCTGTTGTATACTAGCTGCGCCTATAGACAGATGATGCCACGAGTTACATTAATCGCTAAGGAGGTCGTCGGTGAGCACGTCTGTCGTTGCCTTTGACAAGATTGTTGATCTGAATAAGTCGAAAGCCTTATATGTGTCATCGTTCAGTCGACCTTCAAAGTTCTTGCGCGAAAACACGTCGGCGACATGAAAGGTACCAAAACGTTTACGTGACATCTCAGGCGAATTAGAGGCAATGAAATTAAGAGGATGACAAAACGAATTAAGACGAATCAAAGTAAATTCCTAGACGTCGTCTTTGACTGGCTTTCGCCTTCCTACATGTAAACTGTCTTAAATGTACACGCGTAATGTTTTTTTTTTTTCAAGAGAGAAAACTACTTGAAGTTTTAAAAGGTAAACTGCACCACGTCAATACACGTTCGGTGAAAGGTTGAGCTTTTTTTTGTTCAGGCGCCGATCTTTCCGGCGCGTTTTACAACGTAAGACTGTGCGCACCCTATGTAAATTAGTGTCATTACTGTAACGAGGCTCTCCCGGGTGGTACCTCACTCCCATTGACTGGCTTAAGCGATCATGTGACCATAACAAACACCGATGGCGTTCTCGTCGGGAGCTGCTGCACGAGTCTCGAAGCGTAAACGAATCTACCGAGATTTACCGGCTCAAAACGTATTCTACGTATTACGATTTTGTCGGGTAAGACCAAACGACTTCCACTATTCGATATTTTTTTTCTACGACGTTAGTCTACTTTAAGAGGCGTTATAGTCGCTACTAATGCAGCTTTTTTTCAAATTGACATTGGCTTTTATTGACGTTTCCGGTCACATTACTACGTTTCGCTGCGCAGTGATGAAGTAATCAGAGGCACCTACAGGCCTACAGTCACAAAACATTAAGAAATGTCGGGAGTCTGAAACCTGTTTGCCCCATATTTAGCAGGTTTACAATATACATTGCGTTTCTTACTTCATGTCAAAAGGCTTTCGCCGCGTTGTGGCAGGTACGGCTGCGTGAGTGAGGCCTTGGGAGGTGATGTCGTTGTGAGAATCCTCGCACAGACAAGGCATGTAAAAAGAGCTTTGCTTTTGTGTCCGTATCACAGTACTGCACGCCACTCTTGACATGAAGTACAGAGTGCGTGGTGGCTGCTTATGTTACAAAATACTAGCGCGACTGAAGTGCACTTTGTGGTGGTCCTAAAGTCGTAAAAATTCTGTAACATAAAGGCCCGCTCATATCTCTAACATTGCTAGATGTTTTAAAATACCACTTCAGCGGTTTATGATGGTTGTCGTGACTTAACTGTTTTGAAAATACTCTATTCGTTTATTATTATACGGTTAATGCGAAGTGTGCAAACATTATGAACTTGTGAACACCTACAGAGTCGTGGAAAACATGCCAATATTTATAACGTCCTTCGCTGCACGATTTCTTGACTTCTGAAAAGTATTACAAAAACAGTGCACAGGAGTTAATTTTGAAATGAAAAAGAGTGCAATGTGACCACGGTCGACATACTAATATCCAGGTAGGCAAAGTGCACCTTATAGTGTGTTCCGTGTCACCCAACGGGCATTGCGTGTTAAACAATATTGTATGCTATAAAATGTACTCAGATATATAATACGCAGAAACCTTTTCGAAACGCTGTCTAGCATGTAGTATCTTGGCATACACACGCATGAACAGATTATCTGTCACGTAAAGTAGAAAATCATCTACTCGAATGAAGCAGCAGCTTGAAAAATATTTGAACGAAAATACCCAATATTTTGCACTTAACGTTTAACTTCTGTACCGAGTTATTTTTCCCCTGCATCTTTTTAAAGTGAAGACGTATATATTACACGTCAAAAGCGACTCCATTTGTAATTATTATAACTTAATATCCCATACTCCGAGGTTCCGCCAGGAAAGTGTTAGTTGGGTATGCCATGCTCTGCTCGGATCTTGCATTATTTCCCCGTTTCGTTTGCTCGCCCGTGCGTTCCCTCCCGAAGCACCTGAACAACCTCCTGGAGCACTACTTGGAGCCGATGAAGAAGGAGACGCTGCTCTCGAACGCCGAAATCAGCGCCCTCTTTGGGAACATCCAGGAGATCGTGCAGTTTCAGAGGCAGTTCCTCCAGAGCCTCGAAGAAGCCATCGCCGCCGAGCCCGACTTCCATCGGCTGGAGCACCCGAGCCAGTTTAGGGTCAGTATTTCACGTTCAGCTGCACGAGGGGAGGGGGGGGGGGGGGGGGGATAGAGAGAGACTTATGCCATCTTACAGATAGTTCATAGAAAAGGCTGCTTGATAATATGGGCTAAAGGAAAAGATAGCAGCTTATTTTTACGTCGCTTTCTTTCTTTTTCAGAACGTGTTGTTTTCCCTCGGAAACTCCTTCCTCTACTACGCCGACCAGTTCAAGTTGTACAGTTCCTTCTGTGCTAGTCATTCCAAAGCTCAAAAAGTCTTGCATCCCAGTGAGTACTCCGGTTCTCAATTATAACCTCTTGGTTCTTTTTTTAAAGCTGTTTTAGTTATTCTGCAGAGTTCTTCATCATGAGGAATGTTTTCTTTGTTCGTTGGTTTGTGTGATGTTTGTGTGACCTTTGCTCTGTAGTTTTGTTATTGATCAAATCTACCCTCAGAGGGTTGGTACGGGCTCCGTCGAGCTGTCTCGCAAATTCCACTCTGAGTTTTGGAAATAATACATAACTCATGTGAGCGATACAGTCTAAATTCGTAAATTATACTATATGGCATATTGTTGAAATATGCATTTGTACCGTTAAAATGTTTTCACTAATAGAGAAACATTGTACAATAATGGTAAAATTAATGCGCGCAGCACTATTTGCAACAATAGCTTGTAGCATCTAACTGCTTAAGCGGGTCGTACTCGTCTGAATCACTGCCTTTGCCCGGACGACATAAGACCCTTTCCCCTTTGGTCATTGTAATTTCCACGTTTTCTAAATGACGTAAACATAAGCGGTAAGCAATACAATCGCTTGTATTGTGCATTACCGTGAAGTCTAATGGGCCTGGCCAGTTTGATGACATATGTTTTTTGGCATATCACAGGGTAGCACTTGAAACTTAGGATTGTTTGTTTAACATTTTACTAAAACCTTGAATTTTGCCAATAAAGTATTCTGCGTAAGCCACTGCATTGCGTTCTGTCTAACAAATAAACGTAGTCAGACACACACAAAAAAGACATGTTATTAAGGCAGCAAACTCTCCAAATGCTATAATCATCATCACCCTAGCTTAAAAATAAACATTGTGCGATTTTATAAAGGATCAGTAACTTTGTTTTAAACAGGGCCATTCACAATATTAAAGCTCGACGCTTTGCCATGATATTATATGCATTTCCTTAAAAAAAAAACACTTTTACACATGATCATAAAACACTAGGCTCCCTCTAGGCTTTACACTTAAGTCAATCTGTGAACTCGCTTTCACCGTGCTCTCCTACTTGAAACAGAAGGACGAAACTCTCATGTGATTGATAATCTCTAACGTTATGGCTAAACAAAAATCTTGTTAGTGGAATTTGCTCTTAGGCGCTATTTGGACGACAGTTTCGTGTTTCTTTTTTTTTTTTTTTCCGCTGGAGACATCAGTTACAGGATTAAAATTAAAATTAGTATGAAGCTTATTTTTGTGCGCTTTCTTTTGCTTCCTTCTTCAATATATGATTGCAATTAACATTGCGCTTTTGTAGTTTTTTAAAATTAATATTGTTTGAATTTGTTAACTTTTTTAAACCAGGTCGTAATTTGCTTTGTGACTGAAGGGTCTTTTTAACCTCAACGAGACTAGGGCTCAATGGTTTTTTTTTAATTTTCTATTTGAGCTCGCATTCTGTTAAAGATTTCCATCATCCTCGAAATGGTGATGGTACTTACATAATTTATGGGAGATAAAAGGCTTTAGCGTGTATGAGCACGTGCACTAAACTTGGGGGACAAAAACATTATTTTGAAGAAACAATATTTTTATTAACGTCTGTGATGAGTTTTTCATTTTTTTTATGGTTTAGCTGTCCAAAACCAGCCTTTAGCCGAAATTAGTTTACATATCCATTATCATGCCTAGGAAACTGCTGTGCAATCGCAGCGAACAAAAATGTAGCAAATAAATTTCGCGGTACAATTTTTTTTTATCGTCAGTTTGGTTTAAATGAGAGCTTAGCTCGATGAGCATCGGACTAATAATGTAGATCTATTTCTTGTGAAGTGTGTAAGGTTTTTGCGTAAACTTCAGCCTTTCTGCCTGTTCTGTTTGCAACCTAAAACAATAGCAGCATATTTTTAAAATTGGGCCCACCTTTTTTCTTTTTCCTTAATTTTGTGCCAAAACCAGAAGCTGAAGGCCGAATGAGTGAGTACAGTTTGAAAACGAAATCACTTCTCCTAGATTTTAGACACATTCTGTGTATCTTCTGTTCTCGAATAAAAGTGCTTTCGTCCCTGCAAGAAAAAAAAAAAAAGGGCAGACCGTAGTTTACGCAAATTTGTGAGTTTTAGTAGATCACCTTGGCGGTCCGATAATGATGCCCGTTAATGGTATACGATGCCCGCGATAAAGGCCCCAGATGAGTTCGGGTATCGTTATCGGAATGCAAAAACAATCTACTAGAAGCTTCTATAACACAATCAATTTAGAAGGATGTACTTGTATTTATTCTGTTTAGTACAATACTAAGCGAAAAATATATTTAATAATGAAAAAAAAGAGGTATAAAATCGGCTTTAAGAAATCTCGTGAGGTGTGCCGGACTTTATGCATCATAACGTTTGTTGCTACAACTTATAAGGCGCTCACAGTTCACGAAATTACTTTACTTGGAGTGGATGAGGAGAGCTCTTTTCTGGTAGTCCAGTACTTAAAAAGCAAAATATCTCGGTGTGAAACAAATCAGAATTTTGGAGGCAGCGGTCACTCACGTGCTTGGTTTGTGCACACGTATAGTTTACACGACCAGTGGCTGCAGCACGAGAACTATTAAAAGGGTAGGTTAATTTTAAAGGGTCCATGAAATGAATTTTGGGCTGAGGTAAATGATTTTAGATTGCGACTTTACTAATTGAATTTCGTTTAGCGGGCCAAAAAAAAAAGGTAAAAAGTAAAACGCCAGTTTTTTGGTTCAAACGTTTGAAAATATAGCGGACTATTTCGTACCTCCTTTCGTTCGAAAGCTCTCCGCCTTTTCACTATGATACATCCGCGGTACCTAAACCACGTCAGCAGACCCCAGCTCACGGATTGGAGACAAGAACTGCGTCATTCAGGCGTATGCGCTCGTCCAGAATCAATCCCTTAACGAATATTTGGATTCGCGTTCGTGGCCAATGAGTGCTCTAACGGAACTTATCATAATTCGCGAATAGAACTTCTCTGTTTTGCTTCAAAAGCACGGCGAAAACTTGGAGACAACCTGATTTCTCGATTCGTCCTTGAGCTGAAGATTAAAGCTAAGGAGGAAAAAGTTGAAAAATCATTCCGTGGCCCCTTTAACGTACGACATAACACGTCCCAATTCGCAGACTTTTCGTTTACGTTTGGGACCTGTATATCGGTCGGGGTAATGTAGTCCTTCTTGCGACTGCGTCCTTTCAGTGTTGAGAGGGTGCTGACGCTTTTGTTCTCTCTCTCGGTTGCAGGCGAAGGCAATACAGCCCTGTCCGACTTCCTGCAGACGAGGAACCCGAAGGGGCAGCACAGCTTCTCCCTGGAGTCGTACCTCATCAAGCCCATCCAGCGGATCCTCAAGTACCCGCTCCTCCTGCAGCAGCTCAAGCACCTCACGGACCCCGTCACGGAGGAGCATCACCACCTCACAGGCAGGATCCGCGCCATGCGTGCACGACAATCACCCCGACACTTAAGCCGGGGTGACACCGCTTATACATCATACGAAAGACAGTCTGGCAGACATCAGTCACAGCGATATCCGTGGTTCGAATGCCGCGTGCCAAGTTTCACCTTGAACTCGTTGCCATGAGGCGTTTGACGCACGAATCTCGTGGTGACTTGCGTTCGAATCTGTTTTCAGACTGTCTTTTGCATGATGTATGAGCGGTGTGACCCCGCTTTAGGAATCTATGGCCCAGTGTGAAAGAACGCACAGTCTAGCAACTCGCGAGCGCGTCGACTTGGCTAGCGGAAAACATCGCTGAACGATTTCAGAAACAGCGCAGATGAAAGCAGCCATAAAATATATAGATTGCTTTTTTTTGGGGGCTCAATATTAAAGAAAACAACACTGTAGTTTAGCGGTGAGCGGAAAATGAATGATTCAGTGAATTTTCGGACTGTTCTTTGTGACCAAAGAGTGCTGTGATGGAAAGCTGTGATGTCTATCTATCAGTATTGAGGACGCATATATACTCTGAGCATTGCCAACTACGACTTGAATGCAAACGCTGCTCGATTTTCTTAGTTGTTTTGTATTGTGCGAAAATGAAGCCGAGTTTTTACAGAGGGTGTTTTTTTTTTAGTTTGAAATTTAAAACAAATACACTTGAGTTAAAAAAAAAAAGTTCCTTCAGAATAACGTTTACCTTCCGCGCCGGATGTCAAGGTACGAGTGTGGCGTTGCAATTAGCAGATTGACTACTTAAATTTTTATAATTGTAAAGACTGGATGCAGAGATAAGTAAATCCATCAACTCGAATTAAATTAGTAAGCTAGTTTTTGCCACATATTGATTTATTTGACAATTTTTTTAATATATTTTCATTGAAATAGCTCACCTATCAGCGCATCTGAAATACTACTCTCAAAGGCCTCGAAACGATAATAAAAATGTCCTTTGACTGATTGTGAATGCCAAATACTAGCGGGGAGACGGTACTGTATTCATACACAATTATTAATTTTGATGTACGTTGACGCTTTCGTCCCCACACTTGTGAAATTGCAGAAGCTCTTAAAGGCATGGAGAGGGTTGCAGAACACATAAACGAAATGCAGAGGATCCACGAGGAATACGGAGCCATCTTTGACCACTTGTACCGGCAGCACGTCAAATCTTCAAAGCAGGTGAGCTTGTTGCACTTCAGGCCACTTGCTGATTGCACGTTTGTACTTGCTGAACGTTTAAATAATTAATAGATATTGAGTGCAAGCGAGGGCTTTTAAACCATACTGTCAGTTGCCTCTACACTCTATAATAATCATCTTTATTTTGATGTGTCCGCAAACAGCAATAAACCTAAAAAGTGATGCATTGTTAGACGTGTACCGCTCTTCATAAAAATAAATGAACTTAAAAAGTCTTAGCCCCGGCTTAATTTTTATGGCATCATCTATTCAATCACGACCACACTTTCGCGAAATGTTGAGTAGGTAAATTGAGGTATAGGTAAAGCTTCAATAATCAATAATAGCAATAACGCCAAGCGTTTTCCTTATTGATTTTATCGGTAACTAGGACTATATGTCTTAGTAGTTCTATGGTGAGTGAATACGTAGTCTGCTCAGTCGCTGTAGGTATAAACAAACATTTTCTGATAGAGGCATCACGAAGCGCTGACAGCAGTGATCGCCCGTTTCTCCCTGCCACGCAGCACGTCGACCTGAGCCCCGGAGAGCTGTTGTACTACGGTGGCGTGGAATGGCTTAACATCTCCGAATTCTTGGGGAAGATCAAGAAGGGACTGGAGCTGCATGCCATGTGCTTCGTGTTCAAGACGGCCGTGGTCTTCCTCTGCAAGGAGCGGATCAGGCAGAAAAAGAAGCTCATGGTGCGTCGGGACGCGTTTCCCCCCCCCCCCCCCCCCCCCCCTTACTCAGTCTTAACAGATTCCATTCCGGTCGCGGTCATGAGATCCCAAACATCGTCTATCATACAACCACGAAAGTCCAGTTTCACTTATCTCAGTTTCCATCGCAGAAACCGCAAAACTTCGTGGCTCGTTGTTGAAAGCGTGCGACAAGACCGCGGCGCCACAGTGAGGCTCCTAGCAGAATCATTTCGCGTTCATATCGTGCGTAGCAGCCGGGCTTAGTTTCTAATTGCTGCCAGGTAACCTGAGCGCAGTGCTTTAAAAACGTTTAAAGTCGCACGTTAATAATAACTTTTTTTTTTAACGAGACTTGGGTATTGAGGACACAGATCCCCTCTATGCGGTGGCGAAAACAGCCACGATTATCTCAATCCCAGTACGTCTACTCAATCCACACCAGGGAGCGAAGAACAATTTGATAATAAGAGGGCAAGAAGAATACTTTTGTAGATTTTATCGCTTACCAGCACTGGCGAGTGTCGTAATTTCCGGACCGTAGAACACACAAGCGCTTCATACAGGTATGTGCCGAAAAGGGAGAGGAGAAGACTAGAGTGCGCGAGGACGTCAAAACGCCGAGCCCCGGTTGAAATGATTCGTGGGTAGACCTAAAGCTTCGTCTAGAGCCTTTGTCTCCACTGCCCTCGTCGAACGCGTTAGAATGCGGAATGCCGGCGACTGGCGGGAAGTTCTCGCATTTGAATGCGTCCCACGAGTGCAGGTGAGACAAAGGCAGCTAGCTTTAGGTCTACCCACGAATCATTCGAATCAAAGCTTGGCGTTTTGATTTCACCGCGCGTCTCGTTTCCTCTTCTCCCTCGGTTTCTTGGCGCATATTGCAAAGAAAATGAACGAGAGAAAAAAAAAAAGTAGCGATGTGTTCCCGTCGTTGCCGCCTACAACTGCGGGAAACACGATCGACCCCGAGCTCCGGGCAATCCCTGCGATTCGAATGACGTAAAAACACTTACAGAGCAACACTGGACGCGGGTTGATTTTCGAATGCCAAGGTGCGAATATTTTTTACTCGGGGGCGAAATCGAGAAAGCGGCAGTGGGGAACGTATAGACCGACACGCTGTTTACAAACAAGCCCGCGTTTGCCCACACCAGGTGTGGGCACTGCGCATGCACAGAAACCGAATTCGAGTGAACTGAAGCGTCTGCGCATGCGCAGTGCCGTCGACAGCGCCACCGCTGCTGCGTGACGTCAGGGACGCGTGTTGGTCTATAGACGCGACGAAGGCGCCGCGTGCAGTGCTTCTTTATATGCGACGTAACGCGGACGGTGTCGTTGGGGGCGCTGCGAACAAACTGTCAAGCAAGGAGGTTATAAGTACTAAGAGGGGGCACGTTGCAATATTGGTGAAGCCTAGTCATAAAAAGTTTAAACGATTTTGTGCCCAGCGTGACCACAGATCTCTCTAGCGATTGGTGCGCGTGACATGTCACGTGTGAGATGGATGGTTGATTGTAGGACTCCTTGCAGCTTGCGCGCGCTCCGTCCGGTGGGTTTTATCAGATCGAATGCTAGACTGTGGTGTATTCTAGTACCCCATAGCAAAACGAAGGCTAGCTACGGTCACGTGATGTGGTCACGTTGGCATGGTAAGTGAGGAGAGTGAGGAGGAAAATGAGAAAGAGGCGACGCGTCAAGGGAGCATGGCTTGCGGAGGCTACGCGGCCGACGTCATGCCCTCTCCTACCCTTCTATCCTCCTTGCTGTCAAGGCAATGCGGCGCGCCCCCTTTAGGTGTCACATGCTCCCACTAAACTATTCCAGTAATCGCCTAATGCCCACTGCCATTTTTGTCTCCTGGGCTGTGGAGAACATGCGCAATCGCTCCATTTGGCGGAATATCAAACACTGCTCATGAGTGCATCGCTCAGCGACTCGGCATCTTAAGTCTGGTCGATAAGCACTAAAAGATGCAGAAGCTCTACGGTGAGCGCCTCTCGTAAAGATTAAATCAGTGCCCTTTTCTCTTCTTCTGGTGTCGTACTATCCATCAGGCAATCTAACCTAGTGGTGCAGAATATTTGGTATTTGACGACGATCAGGAATTGTTAGCTTGCAGAAAATGATTTGAATGCTAACTGGCAGCATAACTAAACAAATATGATGGCTTCACACAAACAAAAAAAAAAAACAAAAAAAAAGGAAAGCAAGATAAGGTAAAATCAGAATAGCTCGAGTAAAGGTCCCCGAAACTTGGATTTCGTTAGCGGGCCCACTCGCCTGGCAGATTTTAGAATACATGTGGTCGAAAACAGTTAAAAAGACATGAACGAAAGAGGAACATACGCGATAGGACGACGAGCGCTTGCCCTGTCATATATGTCCCTCTTCTGTCCTGGTCTTTTGCGCTGTTTTTGATCACCATGTACAATAACCACGAACTAGCTCAGCTTTTAACTTTATTAGAGTTTAGAACGGCCACGGTGGTTAAGTGACAGACAAAGCTTGCCCATGAGACGAGCTTGCCCATCGCTTCTGCGCGGTCTGACTCGTGACTGTTGCTCGCAGGGAGGGTCAAGCAAGAACAACTCTGCCGAGGTGGAGATAATCCGCTATCAGGTGCTCATACCGGTCACAGAGGTGCAGGTGCGAGCGAGCAGCCAGAAGGACGCCGACTCCCACTACCTCTGGGAGCTGGTGCATCTCAAGTCGCAGATACAGAGGCGTTCGGAGAAAGTTTACCAGCTCTCCAACAGGTGAGGACTCTACCTGTGGTATGTGATTGGGGTCGAATAATTGAAGGGGACGTCCAGCCATCTCCTAATTAGCGACCCAAGGCTTTGAGGCCTACTCGGCTTCTTTTTAAGGGGTGACTATGGGGGGGGGGGGGGGGGGGGCGATGGCCGTTGGCCGTTGAAGAGCAGTATGATCGAAACAACGAAAATACTGCTCCTCAACAGCCATCGCCACAGTCACCTTTGAAGAAGAGGGTTGAGCAGGCCTTGAAACGTTGCGTCCCTAATTAGGGCTTGGTTTGACGTTCTTTTTGACTCCCCTCCCCATCACTAGACAGGTTTTTTGTAAAATTTTCACGTTCAAGATCACTAGCGAGTGGGGAAATGGCATAAGAGCTGCTTGTTTATCGTGGAGCCAAGGGGAACACGAAAAACACAAAAGCAACATATATATAAAAAAAATGTGTGCTCGCCACGCAGTTTTTGGATTACGGCGATGACGTGCTCTCTTCAAGTCACCCTCCAAGATGTAGAACGCGAGTAGTCAAGGTCGGGAGCTCATACGCCGACAGTCTTGGACTGCCATTCGCATAGGCACTTCTTGAAATCTGAGTGAGGAACGAGTATCTTCACTTACCGTGCTTGTGATCGATCAGGGGAGTTAGGTAGTAGTGTTTGGTAGTGTAGTACAGTAGGGGCACATTATCTACATAGACATTGCGTATATAATGTCGCGTATAGGTTATGTTTAGGGCTCCGTGTTTTCGGATAAATCTGAAAAACTCCGAAACACATCCGGCGGTAAAATTTTGGTCATTTCGGATTTATCCAATAAACGCCGAATATTTATGTGCCAATGCCCCCCCACCCCCTGGGTAAAAATAAAAAAATAAAATACTTTTTTTTTACAGTGTTTTGCCAATGTTCTGGGAAAATTCCACCATAATTATCTTTTAAATCTCGAACCGTTGTCAAAAGCGGTCTTGCCGCTTGTCTCTTCAAGGTTGATCAGGGCAACAGGTCGTTCGTTGTGCATTCGGGTCATGACGAAACCACTCTTTTGGTTTCCAGTTTGGGCCATGCGATTTGTGATTTACAGAAAAGAAAGGGTGTGTTTCAGTAATCTCCGAATCTTCGGCAAAAAATAAACTCCGAAAAACACGCTCCGAATTCGACGAAAAATAAACTCCGAAAACACGGAGCCCTAGACTTATGTTTCACTTCGATGATGTCGTCCTCAACGGACCAGCCGCAAACCGTCGCTTCTGTCTTTCGCAGCACGAGTGAGTTCCGGAACGCGTTCTTGCGCACGATCCGCCAGATCATCCGCGAGTCCGTGCGCAACATGACGGTACCGGCGACCAAGCCCGCCGTGCGTGAGAAGCCCGGCACCCTGCGTCGCCTGGGCGGCGGCAACGGCCACGACAGCGGGCCGTCCAGCGCCGCGGGCCCCTCCACCTCCTCCATGTCCCGCACGCTGAGCGGCAAGAAGCGCAACAAGTCCGCCCAGCGGCACTCGGCGGGTGACGCCATCGAGTCGTACGACAACGTGACGGACCCCCGGCTGCCGGGCCCCAGCTTCCGGGGCACGCGGAGCAAGACGGTGGCCGACTCCATGAACGGCATGAGCGCTTCCGCGAGGGACCTAGCCTCCGAGGAAGCCGGCGACTCCGAGCGTTCGGACAGGTCCGACCGGTCCGAGCGGTCCCTGGGCGCGCCCAAGGCGCTCAGCCTGAGCAGCGCCTCTTCTCTGTCGTCGTCGAGCGCGGCGGCTCGGCTGATCCAGTCGAGCAACCCGCCGACGTCGTACCAGCCGGCCGCCGAGCAGGCCGGCTCGCCCGTCTGGAAGCCCCGGGCCTCTTCGGCGGACCGCGCTGGGCCCTCGGGCCTCAACCGACCCGACGTCAAGGAGCAGTTCTTCGTGTACGAAGACTACGGCGGCGGCGGCGCGGCCGTGTACCAGCAGCGATCGCAGGCGCCGGCCCCCGCGCCGTCGTCGTCCTCTTCCAGACAGTCCGAGTGCTGACTGGCGCCAAAGTATAGCGTTTCTCGTCGCCGGAGCGCGCGGCGGCCCGGGTCTTGAGGGACCCCCTGTACATAGAGCGCTCGGCGGGCACTGGGATTCTCGAGCAAGCGGCCTTTGGGCCAGGACTCTTTCACCTCTCTCACACTCTCACGCAACAAGCTCAACTTTTCACGTAGATGCCAGGCAAAGTAACGGAGAGGACTCGAGGCGGCATCGCGGCCGTCCCCTGGTTCCGTTATCTTTCTCGTGTATGCGCCACGGCGCGTTTCCTTTCCCAGATCAGAGTACCTGACTTTTACAGCGGGGGAGGGAACGGTTTCGTACCTAACGGCGACGGCAAACCACGACACCGCTAGCGACAGCGACGCTTGGGCCGATGACGCTCGCGAGGCAACGCTCTGGTGCTCGCGTTCGATGGGGAACCCGCGGACATCCTTCGCACGGTCGGCGTTTTCTTTGAGACGTTGTTTGCCTGGCTTTCGTTATTTCGCTTGCGCTTCGAGCGCGCGTCAGCATTCCTTGTTTTTTGTTTTTCATCTCATTTGGGTTTTTGTCGTTTTGCAGCTCCAAAAGACGTAGGTATATTTTCAGTCGTCGTTTGCTCCGAATTCGGCAGCCATAATGCATCTGATGAATCGGAGATAAGAAAAAAAAAATAACGACCTGTAGTCTAAAAAAAAAAGATTTTTTGGATATGCAGATTATTTTCCCAATTAGCTCCACTGCATTCAGGGAACCGAAATTGTAATCGTTTACATTGCTTTCTTATGTTTCCTCATCGTGTTTTCTCTTCAATCGCTCACCTCATTTCAGTTTTCCCAATCTCTTCAGCTGCGTTTGTAGTTTTATTCCGTATCGAAGACATCGCTAGTCGCCTTTAGGTTTCTTGCATAAAAACGAATGTAGCCAAGCCACCGACGGAAAATCCTGTACTTTGTCGCGCGGCTCTCGTCGACAGGGCTGTTTTTCGAAGGTACAAGAGGGGACCAGACACCAAACTCTTTTATCTCTTTCTCTCTCTTCTGCCTCGCACACTCCCTGGCTTTCGCAGTAATCTTTGCTTGGTTCTCCGTCTGAAGGATGTTCTTCTTCGCTCGCAGTCCCCTCCGCCATTACGCTCCGGAGTTCCGAATGACGCTGCTTCCTGCCTCATACGACCTTTGCGTAATGCTCCCCTCTTCCTCGAGGCTTGGATGTCATACCTTCGATTGCGATGATAACGCTGGGGTAAATAAGTGCGACTCCGTGTGATTGTGGTTACCTGTATCGGGAATGTATGGAGGACACTTTTTTTCGCTCGAGAAGTTTCGTGCGACCTTTACAAAGCGTTATCGCATTGGAAGAATTCTTGCCGCCGTTCTGCCGGGATTACGATAGGACAAACGCATTAGAAACTGTTATGTTCGCTTACTGTTTTGCTGTGACGAAGCAAGTCGCCCTTTGATGGATGTCGGAGTGTGGCATATGGCATATCAGCTGAGCGACGCTTGTTTAGTACTAGCATGGAAGAACATAATCGGCACGTAAAAGAAACTTTTATCCACGAGGGATCATTTGTTCTTTTCCTGAACGATCTATCGTGCCAAACCTTATGCTGATTTAAATCTGGCGTTTTCATTTTCTTATGCACACCCGAGTTGGTTTGTGAACGCCTGGTCGAATGCCATTTTTAAATGGTGACTTAGAAAAATAATTGGTTCCTGGGAATGAACCGTATCCGCACAGCAGCCTACGACCCAATGGCCGACGGCCTCATGGAACGCTTTTCATGGCTCTCCTAAAGCTGCTTTCATGACCCGCGGAAACCCGACTAGGTGGAGAACCACCTGAGCGATAGTAAGCAATCAGGACTGTAACAATTAGATGTGACATCTGACAACACGATTAAAGTATCCCGACATTCCAGCGACTTCCAGATATAAGAGGCAAAATAGTAAGCTGTACAACTTTCTGTCGAAGAACGTGAAATCCCTTTCAAGATTCTGCGCACGCATCGATTGGTGTGGACTGCCTTCTTTTATGTTTATCGTTTCTGAGATTGGTTCGTCAATCTTTTAAGTATTCAATCTTAAACACAATTATATCAAGTTGCTTATATGATATATGTGGTAATCCCGTCTGTATGCGCTTTCCGCTCACAAAAATGTAGGAACTGTTCGTAGGGAGAAGGTGTTTGGCTTATATTTTGATGGCCGCGTAGCCACGAACTTGCCTGCGTTTAAATTGCTGGTTTCGTGGGAAACCGCGAGAGATTTGCCTTGCGCTGGGCCTGTTCGAGGAAGAAAAGAGAGGCCAGCGCTTTGTTTTCTACGTCGTGAGAAAGTTTCCGTATACTGAATGCTTCGGAACACGAGTCGCGCTTCGCCTGTCCTTCTTTCCTCTCATCGCCTCCGGCGCTCTGAACATTGCTTGGTGAACTGAGCGACATTTTTGTTAAAGAAGAACAAACCAAACACCGACTTTTGTAAGTTAGGAAAACAGTTGTGTCGCTGTCCGACCATGCTCAAACAGTTAGTACGAACTGTGCTTTGAAAGATATCGTCAACACACAACAAAACGAGAACAACGCGCAAGAGGCGCTAGCGTAAATACGAAAATCATAATAACCGCATAATAATTGTCTTCTAATACTATGTTGTATAGCTACTGGGACGAATTCCCTACTGTATATATATAAGTCGAAGGAGTAAAAGAAAAAAAGAACGATGTGTTTTGAATCGACTCGTCGGAGCAAGTGCGGGTCATCGCGACAAGCTTCTTTCCTTTTGGGGTGGGGATTTGGTGGTGACATTGAATTTGTATAGCTGGTCTAGGACGTCTTGTTGCAAATCGATATCTGAATAAGCCTGGCTGTTTCGAATGTTCTCGTGCATCTGATGTCATGTTATCTGTACACGTGTCGCATGCAGCGTACCTTCTCAGGTTCTTACGTTGTGCGCGCGCTCCTCGTTTCTTGGTTTCGTGGCGGTTAGGTTTTAGATAGCAAACGCAGTGCGACCTTACTTAAGTACTTCCTCCGATTTTCTACGTGGTCCATAGACAATACAAGATGTTGCGTTCGAAACGTTACTCCTAGGCGTACTAGCTTCGTAGTCTTGCATTAAGACAACGTGTGGCGTCGTCGCAGCGTGCAAGGACAAGACACAGGATAACGAGTGACTAGCGGAGAACTAGTTTTTACTCGACTTCTAGGAAATAAGTAATAACTAACTTGAACGCTCACGAAACCCCGTCTTGGAAGTATTCAAGGTAGGATATACTAGACGGCATTTATTTGTCCCCGTGAGGAGGTCACACGAAACGTTGGCGCCCAAGCCACTTGGGACTTATTGCACAGCAGAGGTATTTTCAGAGTGCAGCAATTTCCACAGTGGAGTGTCGTGGGGAGGCGTCGGCGGCAATGTTCAACACGAAGAGCTTTTTGACGGGGGAAAAGAAATCACGAAGGGGAAAACGTCGTTTGGTGCAGCTGTAGACCTTTGTAGAAGTGAAATATTTACTTTTTGTGTACTTACGCGGGGAATGCATGTTTTTTTTTCTTCTGCATGTGCGTGAGTGTGTGCGCGTTTGGTTCGCGCATCCAAAGATTTTGAGAGTGCCGCCGGCGAGGTTATAGACGAGTTTCAAGAACGATACACACACAGACTGACTTTTCTCTTGAGCGAAGATCAACCATTATACCCAATAGGCTCATTTTTATCAAGATTCTCATACGTACTCGTTTGATAACTTCGGCTAATAACGCCTCTGTGTCGATATAGACAACAGTGTGAAACTTTTATTTGTTTTGATTTTTTTTTTGTGTCACGCACGAAGTTTTAGTTTTTTTTTATGTGCTGCAGGGTCATTGTGGACGTTTCTGTGTAATAATAGTTGATAGGTTCACTGGTGATGTATCGGGTGCTACTGGTTTTACTGTTCTGCTGTTTTCTTGTAGCTTTAGCGGTTGCTGAAGTAGGCAAAAACGAGCTTTCTCGACTTTGACGAGCCTATAACGCATTTATTGCTCCTTGAGAAGTTTCTTTCGTAGAAATATTTTCACTTTTTTTGCAGAAATGCCTTCACTATTGACACCGTAACATGAACCTAATGCGAACATGACACATGAAATTGACCACTGTTCATCGCATGAGCTGTGGCCAAAACTGAGTGTATTTAAATATATATATATTTACATGTATATATGTATTTTAAATGGTCCCTTGTACAGCTTAATCTTTCGATGTTCACACAAACATTTAGTCTGGATTTTCCCCCGTCGTTTTTATTACTACATAGACTTATCTAAGAAATGTTAACTTTTGATTGAGAGAAAGGTTTCGCTCTATTTCTAATAATTTATTTGCTCTTTCTAATGAGTGTTCGTGGATAAGAGAAGTCACCAAAAAATGTGTGCTCAACATGGAGCATACTGCACAAGCGTCAGTGGTGTAAGCAGTTCGTCTTGCTTGGTAGGGTGTGGCTCGCGCGCTTCACCGAGGCTTCTTCGACTTGAGTACGTGCTTGGCGTGCGCTCGATTCCCCCCATAGAAGGGAGGTGTGCCAAGGTTATGGACTTTTCTACGCCGAAGAGCACAATGCTGGTTCATGACAACGCCCGGAGCAACAGGTTTGCGTCGATGTTCTTGTTTCTCTTTGTGTGTACATATGAAATAAAGCAACTGCTCGCCACAGAAGTGAGGGATTTGACAGGGTTTGACAAGTCAGCCTGTAGGTATCGCGGAGGACAGTCTGGCTAGGGCTGTTAAACGCGCCATTGCCGTATTAAACTATCGTCCCTTCTCACTCGTAATACCTTACAAGTTCTTAACGGGTTGTCACTCAAATTTTATTCGGCGTTTTGTTTTTACATGAGATTGTTCTCGAGCAGCTTTAACAGCACGCAGTTCTTACGTTTATCGGTTGTAAGCTTAAACGACAGCCTTTGAGGAGATCGGCATCGTCTTTCGGTCACGTTTTAAACTCCATTAACCTTTGTTTTCCTGAGCACAACGTCCTTATATTCCCTCGGAACACTTTTGCGGCGTAACACTGCACACAAAGCGAACCAACGAACAAAGGCAACGTAGTTACTTACGGTCAACAAACCGCTCACGTCCTGCTGACAAGTTGGGTTCCTTGCATTACTCGATCGTGTTTTGCTCCCCCAACGCGCCCGTGTTGCGTACAGTAAAAAAAAAAACTAAATAAATAAATAACAAGTACGCGAGCCCTACGCAATGCTGATGGAAGCCTCTCGACAAGACAGACACGAAATTGATGCAAACACAGACCAAAATTTGGACGCGAAAACTGCCGCATTTGATGGACTTGTTAGGGACTGCACGCCACGATGTTAGCGTCTGTGGGTGTGGCGCAAGATGGCGCCGTTTTTCGAGGTGGCGGTTTTCAGCAAAAGCAGAAATCCTGCGTTTTATCATTTTTTTTATAGGTGATAATGTGCAGCGACGCTCGCATTCCTTGCTTTTTATAGTCGACCCACAGAAACCGATGTGCTGGTTCGGTGACGGGGGTCCCAAAGGCAGGAGCAGGACAGGTTTGACTGCATGGCGAACTTATAAGCATTGAAAAAAAAAAAGTATGAATCTACTCTTACAGATCTCTAGGGTGACTTCCTCTGACAATGAGTGAAATAAAATGAAATTATTAACCATTGTGACGGTGTATTTTCATTTCGAGTTTCAAGGTGTGAACGAATTTGAAATGATGTCCCGCCTTCCGAGAACATACCCCGCAGCTGAATTCTGATATACTTCGTATCACCGTCAACTGGACTGCTGTTCTTGCTCTTGGAAGTGCGTCCACTGCACAACCACGCTTAAAGGCAAGCTGAAGTACTTTTCAAGAAAAATGACTTAGAAGCGGGCTTCTATGGCTTTTGGTCCCGCGAATTCAGTTAGCGCGCTTAACTTTGGGCAAAGGTAAACGTAAACAACATTTGTAACAAAAAATACGTACACCGATAGCCGTAGCAGGGTTCTCCAAACGTTTAAGTTAAGTGCCCCGATTGAGGACCTGTGACAGTCTTGAGGGCCGGAAAATATTTGAGACAATATAAATTAGAAAATTCTAAATAAATATCTGAATAAGCATTTAAATACAAAAATTTAAGACAGTGCAAAAATAAAAAAAATGTAAGTTTCATGAATACATATTTTTTACTTTTAAATATAATACTGTGCTGCTAATTATCACATTACAAAAGAATTGTAACCCAAAGAACTCGCCGGGCACAAATCAAAGCCCACGGGAACCTTGGCATACTCACACAGGGCAGAAAACTAATGGGAATGGTAGATCTGCTGATGGACAATATGCAAGAGTTATGACCATAGGTCGGCATTTTAAGCTGTCATCACTCAAACTCACGATCACCTCTTTTTTCTCAATGAGAACTCACGCCCACTCACGATCACGATTTATTCAAAAGAATGTCATCACCCGGACTCACCCTCATGGTTCAACACAAAACCAAAACTCGCTCGCCGTCATCATCACGATCATAACGCTCACAGGTCATCACGAATCATCAGACTCACAGGTCGTCACGCTCATCATACTCGGACGTCATCACCCTCACCGGTCATCACGAATTATCAGACTCACTGGTCATCACACTCACAGGTCCTCACGCTCACAGACCGGTCCTCACACTCAAAGGTCCTCAGGGTCACACACTCACAGGTCATCACGCTCATCACACTAAGTCATCACGGCCCTCACGCTGCTCCTCTCGGTACTCACACTCACAAATCATCATGCTCATCTCACTCACAGGTCCTCACGGTCCTCACACTCACAGGTCCTCACGGTCCTCGCGCTCACAGCTCCTCACGGTCCTCACACTCACAGGTCCTCACGGTCCTCACACTCACAGGTCCTCACGGTGCTCACACTCGCAGGTCATCACGGTCCTCATACTCACAGGTCCTCACGGTCCTCCCACTCACAGGTCATCACGGTCCCCCAACTCACAGGTCATCACGGTCCTCACACTCACAGGGCATCACGGTCCTCACACTCACAGCTCCTCACGGTCCTCACACTCACAGGTCCTCACGGTCCTCGCGCTCACAGCTCCTCACGGTCCTCACACTCACAGGTCCTCATGGTGCTCATACTCGCAGGTCATCACGGTCCTCATACTCACAGGTCCTCACGGTCCTCCCACTCACAGGTCATCACGGTCCCCCCTCACAGGTCATCACGGTCCTCACACTCACAGGGCATCACGGTCCTCACACTCACAGCTCCTCGCGGTCCTCACACTCACAGGTCCTCACGGTCCTCGCGCTCACAGCTCCTCACGGTCCTCACACTCACAGGTTCTCACGGTGCTCACACGCAGGTCATCACGGTCCTCATACTCACAGGTCCTCACGGTCCTCCCACTCACAGGTCCTCACGGTCCCCGCACTCACAGGTTATCACGGTCCTCATACTCACAAGGCATCACGGTCCTCGCGCTCACAGCTCCTTACGGTCCTCACACTCACAGGTCCTCACGATGCTCACACTCGCAGGTCATCACGGTCCTCATACTCACAGATCCTCACGGTCCTCCCACTCACAGGTCATCACGGTCCTCCCCCTCACAGGTCATCACGGTCCTCACACTCACAGGGCTTCACGGTCCTCACACTCACAGGTCCTCACGGTCCTCGCGCTCACAGCTCCTCACGGTTTTCACACTCACAGGTCCTCACGGTGCTCACACTCGCAGGTCATCACGGTCCTCGTACTCACAGGTCCTCACGGTCCTCACACTCACAGGTCATCACGGTCCCCCCACTCACAGCTCCTCACGGTCCTCACACTCACAGGTTCTCACGGTCCACGCGCTCACGGCTCCTCACGGTCCTCACACTCACAGGTCCTCACGGTGCTCACACTCGCAGGTCATCACGGTCCTCATACTCACAGGTCCTCACGGTCCTCCCACTCACATGTCATCACGGTCCCCCCCCCTCACAGGTCATCACGGTCCTCACACTCACAGGGCATCACGGTCCTCACACTCACAAGTCCTCACACTCACAGGTCCTCACGGTGCTCAGACTCGCAGGTCATCACGGTCCTCATACTCACAGGTCCTCACGGTCCTCCCACTCACAGGTCATCACGGTCCCCCCACTCACAGCTCTTCACGGTCCTCACACTCACAGATCATAACGGTTCTCACACTCACAAGTCCTCACGGTCCTCACGCTCACAGGTCATCACGGTCCTCACACTCACAGCTTATCATGGTCCTCACGCTCACAGCTCCCACACTCACAGGTCATCACGGTCTTCACACTCACAGCTCCTCACGGTCTTTTGTTTCTCCCAAGCCGTTGGATTGTCTTCGCGTGAGTCGTGCGGCGGGTTAGGAGAAACTACCCCTTAACAGTGAACTTCTGAACCGCTTATCCTATTTGAAAGAAAATTATTATATTTAAATGTATGCTCCTCACATTTCTATCAAATTTCGTTAACCTAGATTAATTACGAAAGAAACTTTAACTGGCAAGCTGACGAAAGCGGGTGTGTCGAACTTTCGCGTGCTGACAAGGGCGGCGGTAAAACAAACGCGCCTTCCGGCAGGTTACACACACAACGTTGCAGCGATTAGAGCATCGCCTCGCTGTGCATACCTTGCTCATATATGTACACAAAAAAATGATCACTATACTTGGTTTCAGCTTAGGTCCGAGCGTGGCCATTGTTATGACCCGAAGGTCCAGTCAAAGAGCGCAAAAAGCGCAACGTTACAGCGTTCTCCGCTCTTGATAGGACGAGCCGGCGGAGCAGCATGCACTGAAAGACGGCGAACGCTGCTGGTCCTATCAACTGCGGAGAGCGCGCCATGACGGTACGCCTTTTCTTGGCGTTAGATTCGCCTTTCGGCTCATAGCGTCGGCCACGCTCGTACTTAAGGGGAAACAAAGTATACATATATCACCCCCCTTTTTATTGTGCCACCAAAACGTATTTTTACGGAAGTTTGTGCAGCATATTAGACAAATAAATCGACCTAATATTTTTTTTTTGGGGGGGGGGGCGGTATTATTATGTAGGGCGGTTTCACATGACGTACACATTGCGACACTGTTATCACGAACACGACATCGGTGCATCTTCGCATTTTACTTCTAAATAGTATTAGCTCGTATCCAGCAAGCACGCGCTCATTGCGAAGGATTGGGTTTTGTGTATGTTTATACAGCCTAGAACTTGGTCTGCCTCAACGGGCAATGAGTCTCTCAGGCCAGCTGTAGGTGAGAAATTTAGCTAGTGCAGTACAACCGCTAGCCTGGGGTCTTTAACGTACACCACGCAGTTGACGGACTAGGCTGACATAATTGTTTATCCAGTAAAACACGTTTTAGGCGAATGAACCGAAAGGCGGAAATATTGACGTGATCAATTAGTACCACAACATTTTCAGCGGGCGAACACTCTAAGGAGTTCAGAGCACGACATTTGTACCCTACTTCCTTTTTTCTTTTTTTTTGTTCTTAATTTGAAACGTCATTGTATTGCTGTATATCCAAAGAATTGCTTTAACCTGATATTCACACGGTTGGTTCTCCGCATAGTATTCAAATGCGTAACGCATATTTCTTCTTTAGGGTGAAGCGCACCTTCACTAACGTTTCAGTATTATTACGTTAAGCAGCAGTGTATAACGTTGAAGTTTGGGCTAGTTGGTATTTCATGGTCAAAAATTAAAAAACAAAACAATGGAAAGACATGAACAAGAACAAGGAGAAAACAGCGCCGTGTTCGTCTACCCTCTCGTTCTTTTCCCTGTTTTTGCGCTGTATATTTTTCTCAATGTTTAGCTGTGTATGATGGCGAACTAGCACAAATTAAGGGCAGTAATTAGTGCTCAAAATTAAAGTAGTGTTATGGGCGACTGACCGGTGCTCTACAAGAAGCCGTCACAAAGTTAGGAAGGGGAACTTCATTTTTTTTTTGTGCCATCTTATCGCGAACGATACTTAAAAGCATGATATCGCGCAATGTGAAATATCTCTCTCGAAGCTTCGATCGATCATGACACCGCCTTTGTTTCACTTCCTAAGTGATGACTCATTTCCAAAAGGTACAGCAAGGTGCGCGGAAAGATAAAATTGTTTGTGCGACTGAGTGCTGATGAGTATCATGTGAGTCACTTAATTTTATCGCAGCTGTGCGAACGTTATAGTTTACGCAGTCATAAAATGCTATGCCCACCGGCACAAACTTGGCAACAGGACCCGAAATCCACACGAGCCTTTCAATGCCACAGGAAGAAGGGCACTAACCGTTTGGAGCGCTTCCACAACTCCGACGTTATTGCGCCACCCCGAAGCGCCATCGGTCCGTTGTTGTCTCGCCGTCTGCCGTGAAGCGATGAGCGAACGCCGAGGCGAGACGCAACCGAACTCCCCCCCCCTTCCCTCATACGCCCTCTGCCCTCCACAGCTAGTTGACACATAGCGGTGGGCGCTGGCAAGGAGGAGTCTGCAAGAACACCCCCCCCCCCCTCCTCCGTCCTCCACAGAACCCAGCGTGTCGACGAGGCGGAGGAGCAAGCGAGCGACACCCAAACCAACCCTGATCCCTGCGGTGTAGTTGCGAAGCGAGAGTCTCCTCTTCCCACTAAGATGGCCCGGGAGCTC